CAGGTTAATCAGTGACTGATAAAATGGTACACCCATAAGAAAATTGCTAGAAGCCAAGAGAGTGTAGAAATGAGGGATGATTATTATTGGAAGATAATTCTCCACAGGTCTCTCACATTTCTTTATGTGTCTTGTCAGCTAAAACTATGAAGGCTTTTGTTCTGGACTGTCTTTTCAAGGAAGTTGGCATAGCCTTAGAAGATAGAGGCAGGTGCTTTGTATCTATAGAGCAAAGGACAGGTGTTCTTGTGGCCTTGGTGGAGATAATGCCTCCCATCAGTGCAAAGGCCAGGTATACCAACCATCCAGTATAAAAGACGAAAATTCTGTAAGCTCTCTTCCCTCTTCCTTTCCTCAATAAAACCCACTGCATGTGCAGGATTCACTTGGTCCTCTTTGTGTTGCTCTGTGGGAACTAGGCTTGGGAAACTGCTGTAAGAAAATGCTGGTACTCTAGCTACTGCTATTGCTGTAATAAACTGTCCTTTGTGTCTGACCCAAGAGTGTCTTGTATGGCTGGAAGCAGTGGCTCACGCCTGTAAACCCAGCATTTTGGGAGGCCAAGGCGGGTGGATCAGTTGAGGTCAGGAGTTTGAGACCAGCCTGGCCAACATAGTCAAACCCTGTCTCCATTAAAAATACAAAAATTAGCCAGGCATGGTGGCAGGAGCCTGTAATTCCAGCTATTCAGGAGGCTGAAGCAAGAGAATCTTTTGAATACAGGAGGCGGAGGTTGCAGTGAGCTGAGATTGCACCACTGTACTTCAGGCTAGGTGACAAAGCGAGGTTCCGTCTTAAAAAAAAAAAGTATGTTTTCCGTGAGCATCTGTGAAACTGTAGAAGACTAAGCTTGCAAACAGAGCAAAATCTCTGACTATTCAGTTTTTGACCTGATGTTCCTTTTTAATATTTCTTCATGACTCAATCTTGGTAGGTTTTGTTTTTAGGAATTTGCCCTTTCATTCATTCATTGACTCATTCATTTTTGAGGCAAAATCTCACTGTCAGCCAGGCTGCAGTGCAGCAAAGGAATCTTAGCTCACTGCAACCTGTTTCAAGTGATTCCCGTGCCTCAGCCTCCCAAGTAGCTGGGATTACAGGTGCACACCACCACACCCAGCTAATTTTTGTATTTTTAGTAGAGATGGGGTTTCATCATATTGGCCAGGTTGGTCTCGAACTCCTGACCTCAAGTGATCCACCCTCCTCGGACTCCCAAAGTGCTGGGATTACAGGTGTGAGTCACCATGCCCAGCTGGAATTTGCCCATTTAATCTAGGCGATCCAGTTTGTCAACTGTCTATAGTACTTTATAAACCCTTTTACTTCTGTAGGAATGGTAGTGTCCCAATTTTCATTTCTCATTTTAGTAACTTGAGTCTTTTTCTTCGTCTAGCTAAAGGTTGTCAATTTTGTCGATCTTTTTGAAGAAGCAACTTTTGGTTTTGTTGATTTTCTTTTTCTATTCTCTATCTCTGTTCTTATCTTTATTATTGGCTTCTGTTAGCTCTTTCATTTGCTCTTTTTTATTTGCTCTTTTTTTAGTGCCTTAATGTGTAAATAATGTATATAGCTCAGTTGTTGATTTGAGGGTTTTTTTAAGAGACAGGATCTCACTCTGTTGCTCACACCAAAGTACAGTGGTGCGATCATAGCTCACTTAGCTCACTGCAGCCCCAAACTCCTGGGCTCAAACAATTCTCCTACCTCAGCCTCTAGAATTGCTGGGACTATAGGTGTGCACCACCATCCCTGGCAAATTTTTAAGTTTTTTTTGTAGAGGGGCCAAGTGATTCTCCCATCTAATCCTCCTAAGGTGCTGGAATTATGGTGTGAGTCACCATGCCCAGACTTTCTTCTTTTTTAACATAAGCATTTATAGCTACACATTTCTTTCAGCACTGCTTTTGCGGCATCCCATAAGTTTTGGTGTGTTGTATTTTTGTTTTCGTTTGTCTCAAGGTATCTGATTTCCCTTATTATTTCTTTTGATCCATTGGTTGTTTAAAAGTGTGTTGTTGGTCAGGTGCAGTGGCTGATGCCTGTAATCCCTTTGGGAGGTTGAGGCAGGCAGGTCACTTGAAGCCAGGAGTTCAAGACTAGCCTGGCCAACACGGCAACACTGTCTCTACTAAAAATACAAAAATTAGCTGGGCATGGTGCTGTGTGCCTGTAGTCCCAGCTACTCAGGAGGCTGAGAGAGGAGAATTGCTTGAACCCAGGAGGCGGAGGCTGCAGTGAGCCAAGATTGTGCCATTGCATTCCAGTCTGGGTAACAACAGCGAAACACCGTCTCAAAAAACAAACAACTTTTCAGTAGTCCCTTTGCTACTGATTTCTGGTTTTGTTCCATATGATGGGAAAACATACTTTTATGATTTTATTCGTTTTTTTTTTTTGAGATGGAGTTTCGCTCGTTACCCAGGCTGGAGTGCAATGGCGCGATCTCGGCTCACCACAACCTCCGCCTCCTGGGTTCAGGCAATTCTCCCGCCTCAGCCTCCTGAGTAGCTGGGATTACAGGCACACGCCACCATGCCCAGCTAATTTTTTGTATTTTTAGTAGAGATGGGGTTTCACCATGTTGACCAGGATGGTCTCGATCTCTTGACCTCGTGATCCACCCGCCTCGGCCTCCCAAGGTGCTGGGATTACAAGCGTGAGCCACCGTGCCCGGCCTATGATTTTATTCTTTAAGTTTGAGACTCTTTTGTTGTCTAATATGTGATGTATATTTAATATTTAATAATGCCTTGGCCCCCTTTCTTTTTTTTTGAGATGGAGTCTCGCTCTGTTGCCCAGGTTGGAGTGCAGTGGTATGATCTCAGCTCACCACAACCTCTGCCTTCTAGGTACAAGTGATTCTCCTGCCTCAGCCTCCTGAGTAGCTATGACTATAGGCACACACCACCATGCCCAGCTAATTTTTGTATTTTTAGTAGAGATGGGGTTTCACTATGTTGGCCAGGCTGGTCTCAAACTCCTGACCTCATAATACCCCCACCTCCCAAAGTGCTGAGATTATAGGTATGAGCCACCGCCCCCCGGCCTCTTTTTTCTATTATTATTATTTTTTACAGGGACAGGGTCTATGTTTCCCAGGCTGGTCTTGAACTCCTGAGCTCAAGTGATCCCCCCGCCTCAGCCTCCTAAAGTGCTGCGGTTACAGATATGAGCCACTGTGCACAGCCTCCTTTTTTCTTTTGGTCACACTGAAGTTACTCCACCCTAGATGCCGGCAATAAAGCTGTAGCCTGGCAGGAAGGTGGCCTGCCAGAGCTGAGGTGCCCCTAGAGATTCTTGAGTCCAGCCACCTGTCATCTTAGAGGTGAGAAAACTGGGGGGTCAGAAGGCTTCATCCAAGATTGCACAGGGGCCCATAGGCCTGCAGGCCATGTACACCGAACCACTGTAATTTATTGCCTGAGAGACTACCTTGTGGCATCAGCAATAATCACAAGGAAGCAAAAACCACCAGAGATTCATTCAAATGTTTACTGAGCATCTACATGTTCCAGGCATAAGTTAAACCCTGAAATGGCCCTGTCTGTGCAGGGCCTGCCTACTCTAAGATGGGCCTGACTGTTCTGGCAATGAGAGTTGCAGATAATCAGAGTTTTGGTCCCTTTATTCATTTCACAAATGCACCGATTTGTCACCTAAGCTGGCTTCTGTATTAGGTTGATTACACCCTCTTCCTAGAAACCACAGACACTAAGGTTTTTAAGCTAGAGGACGAGGCAAAAAAAGTTCTCCATGTCTCTAGGACTGGATTTTTTTTGTTTTTTGCTTTATTTTTTTAAAGGTACAAGGAAAGCCATTAGGTAAAGTGTAAACCTGCAGCACAGAGAGTCAAGGGAGTTACCACAGAGCTACGGCCAGGCAGCTCCATCAGGGCTTCTCATCCCTAGTAGGTGTCCAGGAGCACCCCAGCCCTGACATGGAGGTGCCTCCATATAATTCAGTTGCTGGGCCAGTGAAGGGATAAGGCTGCCTTCTCTGATTGGGAACAGTAAGAGGGAAATTACAGAATCTGGACCCCACCCCCAACCAGATACTCTGGTCAACTGCAGTTTGAGACTTGGCAGGTTGGACTCTTGCCGTGTAGCACAGGGACAGGGCCAAATAGGCCCTGCACTGACAACTGCCAAGGGGCTCCCTGGCCCATCTAGTCTCTTACTGCTGTCCTGACATAAAGCAGGAAGAGGAATAGAGTTTGTGTTTTTTTTTTTTTTTTTTTTTTGGAGATAGGCTCTCCCTCTGTTGCCCAGGCTGGAGTACAATGGTGCAATCTCGCTCACTGCAGCCTCTGCCTCCCAGGTTCAAGCAATTCTTATGCCTCAGCCTCCTGAGTAGCTGGAATTACAGGCACATGCCATCATGCCTGGCTAATTTTTGTAATTTTAGTAGAGATGGAGTTTCACTATGTTGGCTAGGCTGGTCTTGAACTCCTGACCTCAAGTGATCCACCTGCCTTGGCCTCCCAAAGTACTGGGATCACAGGCATGAGCCACCGTATCTGGCCCAGTCCCATTTTACACATATAGAAATCAAGGTGTAGAGAGGTGAGTAATCTGATATATAAAACAGAGCTTAACCACATTAGCAAAACTAACAGAATTAGTAGGGGATGGATAGAGATATAGAGAGATTCAGTGAAACAAATTATCTTCTATGATGATGGCATCTGGCCAGGCAAGTCTGATATCCACAGGACAAGCCATCAGAAAGGGCAGGCTGGAACTCTAGGCACAGGCTGATGGCTGGCCTCGCCCATAAATCAGTATTGCTGCACCATGCCGCGGACTACCACTACCCTCTTTACCCTGACTCTATGGAAATAGTCATTAATGCCATTAAGTTCAATCAAACTAGGGAAGAATTCTAAAAAAAATCCAGAACCAATGCAGAAAACTCAATCTTTAGGGTTGTATTTCTCTAGAACCACTTCTGGCACCAAAATCTGTATCAGTCAGCTTCAACTAGAGAAGCAGAACAAGTAGGGTATGTATTGAGCTTTATTGCAAGTAATTGACTTCAGTGATTGTAGGAGCTGGCTAGTCATGTCCAAAATCTATAAGGCAGGCTCTCAGGAAGGGCAGGCGGTTAGGAACTCTTGCAAAGAGCTGGGCTGCTGTCCACCGGCAGGATTTCTTCCTCAGGGAAGCCCTTAGCTCTGCTCTTTAGGCCTTTTGACTGATCAGGTCAGGCTTGCCCAGATGATCTGAGATAATCTCACTTACTTAGTTGACTGGTTATGGACTTTTTTTACATCTACAAAATACTTTCACAGCAATACCTAGATTAGTGTCTGATTGAATTACTGGGGACTGTAGCCTAGCTAGGCTGACACATCCAAAGACCATCCCACCCACCACAGCCATGCCGTAGGCTCAGGGACTCTGGATCAGCTCTCACCCTCTTCCCACTGGTGGACAGGATGGACAGCATCATCTGTCTAATCTCAAATCCAGCAGCACAAGCAGTGCCTGGGCATTTTGTTTTTAGTTGAGGTAAAATTCACATAACCAAAACATTCTGAAGTATACATATTCAGTGGCATCTAATACATTCACCACATTGTTCAACCATCACTTCTCCCTAGACCCAAAATGATTCCAGCGCCACAGAAGTAAGCCCCTTACCCATTAAGAAGTCACTCCCTGGCTGGGCGCAGTGGCTTACGCCTGTAATTCCAGCACTCTGGGAGGCTGAGGCGGGTGAATCATGAGGTCAGAAGTTCAAGACCAGCCTGGTCAAGATGGTAAAACCCCATCTCTACTAAAAATATAAAAATTAGCTGGGCATAGTGGCGGGTACCTTCAATCCCAGTTACTTAGGAGGCTCAGGCAAGGAACTGCTTGAACCCAGGAGGTGGAGGTTGCAGTGAGCCAAGATCGTGCCACTGCCCTCCAGCCTGGGTGACAGAGCGAGATTCCATCTCCCAAAAAAAAAAAAAAAATCACTCCCCATGCCACCCTCCCTCTGTCTGGACATTTTAAAGCTGACCTGGACAATGCTGTTGGGGAAAACTTGGATATGTTAAACCTGCCATGCTTGCTAATCTGCTGGGGCAGAGGTGTCTCCCTCACCCCAAGGCAGGCACTGAAGTCAGCTACTCTTTCACAATGGTGGGGCTGTAGTTGGGCTTGGCAGCTTCGGCGAGCTCCCGTGCGTACATCTCATATCTGCCCGTCATCTGAAAGCAAAACACAGATGTACTTTAGAGGTTCTGGTTTTATAAATGCCCATCACTTACACACCACCACCTCTTGCCACTGGAGGGCGGCCATGGGACAGGAATTCGTCTGGAAGGCTCGTTGACAGTGACCTCTTGGCACTGATTCTGGTACTGTGGCAAAGTTCAGAGATGCCACGATGACTCATACAGCCCAGCCTTGCCTGCTGCGACCTCTTAGACCTGTCTATCGGGAAGGTGTGGTCTGCTGAGGCAGGAAGGAAAAGAGGAGTCCCATGGTCCTGTTGCTTTCCAGAGCAGCCTACAGCCCAGAGAGGAGTGAACTGCTTCAGACCACCAGCCAGGTGTACAAAAGGCTGAGATTTCAGCCGGGCGCGGTGGCTCATGCCTGTAGTTCCAGCACTTTGGGAGGCTGAGATGGGTGGATCATGAGGTCAGGAGATCAGGACCATCCTGGCCAACATTGTGAAACCCCGTCTCTACTAATAATACAAAAAAATAAAAAAATTAGCTGGGCATGGTGGCGTGTGCCTGTAATCCCAGCTACTTGGGAGGCTGAGGCAGGAGAATTACTTGAACCCAGGTGGTGGAGGTTGAGATGAACTGAGACTGTGCCACTGCACTCCAGCCTGGTGACAGAGAAAGACTCTGTCTCAAAAAAAAAAAAAAAGGCTGGGATTTAAACCAGGGGCTCCTGGATGGGTATGGAGTTCTATCTATTCCATGCGGCATCTCATCGTGGATACAGAGGGTGGTGGGGCTGGAAAGCCCACCCAGAGTGCTCACACCCAGCATGCCCTCCCTCCTTCCCTCCTTTCCCAAGGTGGGCTACCCTCAAAAGTCTCGACAGGAGCTCATGCCCATTACCAAAGTTGGGAAAGGTTCTGCTAAGAAGTGTCTAATGAGAAAGCATTTGGTTTACTGCTCCTGAGATACTTATTAAAAGAACTGGCTGGCACTCTTGGCTCCGACTTCTGATTTAGGTGGAATCCTACATTCATCTGAGTTACCCAGGAAGAGGAAAGACAGGTGCATATGGCAATACCTTGTTAGTCTGACAAGGATCTGAGACTGAGGGGATGTGCCCAGGAACCCATGCTCAGAAAATGGGATCAAGGCCAAAAGCCCATGTGTGGGTTAGAGGCCCTGATGGTCTCTCAGTCACACCAGGCAAAGTCAGTTATAACAATGTGACTTTTCTTTTTTTTTCCCCGAGATGGAGTTTTGCTCTTGTTGCCCAGGCTGGAGTGCAATGACATGATCTCAGTTCACTGCAACCTCCACCTCTTCAGTTCAAGCAATTCTCCTGTCTCAGCCTCCCAAGTAGCTGGGATTACAGGCGCTGCCACCATGCCTGGCTAATTTTGTATTTTTTAGTAGACAGGGTTTCACCATGTTGGCCAGGCTGGTCCTGAATTCCTGACCTCAGGTAATCCACCCGCCTCAGCCTCCCAAAGTGCTGGGATTACATTACCCAGCCTAGCAATGTGACACTTATTTGCATATACGATTTACTTATAAAAGGAGGCTGAGGTGGGGCACAGTGGTTCATGTCTGTAATCCTGGTATTTTGGGAGCCCGAGGTGGGAGGATTGCTTGAAGCCAGAAGTTCAAGACCAGCCTGGACAACACAGTGAGACTATAAAAAATTTAAAAATTAGCTGGGTGTGGTGGTGATGATGCACATCTGTAGTCCCAGTTACTCGGGAGGCTGAGGTGGGAGGATGGCTTGAGCCCAGGAGGTCAAGGCTGCCATGATCTACAGTTGTACCATTGGTCCAGCCTGGATGACAAAGCCAAGACCTTGTCTCCATGCCTCCCACTCCATCAAAAAAAGAAAAAGGGGTGCTGAGTTGGTAGAACACTAATACAGCAAACTCTGAAGCTGTGAGCCCTTCTAGGGCAGAGTCCCATCCCAGGAGGGTAGACGCCTCCACTCCTCCGATCCTAACATCACAGGGTATTAGGTGTCAAAGCCAGCATGGGACCTTCTCGCTAAGCCCCTTATTTTACAACTGGGAGTGCTAAGGTTTGGGAGCAGAAGGGGCTTAATTAAGGGGACTGAGGAAGGGTGTGGCAGGGCCAGGCCTAGATTCCATTTCTCTGCATGACCCATTTCCCACTATCATCAAGGCCTAGACTGTGGGGACTGGCCACAAGCAGAACCAGACATGCACATTTATCTTGTGATAAGTGCAAATGCCTGGAAAGGAAAAAGGATTAGAGGAACTAATCCATTCTATTCTCTGGACAAATGAAATTGAGATTAATTTGTCTGAAGGCACCCAGAATCTAAATCAGATGAGAGGAGAATTTATGCGGCCTGCTGCCTGTACATTGTTTGGCCCAACTGTTCCTCCCGGGAGCCAGCAAGGAGGCAGAGATTCAGCCTTCAGCTCACACAGAGCCCTCGGGTGGGAGCTGGTACCCCATGCTACTGTGGTCAACCCCACAACAGTAGTTCTCAGTCCTGAGAGCAGGATGAGAGCCAAAGCAGAGGAACAGGTAACAGCAGGGGTCCTGGGGACCTACCTTGAAGTTCCAGACATCATTCACCTGCTGGCAGAGGTTTAGGTCGAGCTTGGCAACCAGCAGTCCATCCCGGGTACGGGACAGCCCAGGAGTCCGGCTGCTGTCAGGGGCTGCCACATAGCTCGAGCCATAGAAGTAGCCTAAGTCCTTGTGAGCTTTAGAGGAGCAAAGAAACGCATCTGTGAGCTTGTATGGATACACTGTGGACTCCGAAGTGGGTCAGGCACCTTGAGGCAGGCCCAGGACAAGGTCCGCTCCATCCTCCCCAGTGTCTGCCAAATGTTGAGGCCCAAAGGGCCTATCTCCCTCCTCAGGCCTGAAGGCCCAGTGAGTTGCTGCAAATACCCCCCTTATACTGCTCCCCTTTGCCCCTGGAGAAATGTCTAAATGTCACCCTTCTGAGAGGTGTTGCTCCCACCCACAGCCGAAGGAAATCAGAAAGTCACACTCTGGGGGCTTCCTATGTGGACCCCCACTGTGAGCTAGAGGCTCTGCCTTCATCTGCCTTGCCTGCTGCATCACCCTCACCCTCCCTTCATGCCTTGGTCCCCTCACTAGTCAAGGAGGCCTAGCAGCCACCCCACACACACATAAGGAACAGGCGGGGATGGGCAGGGCCTAGCATGGCCCAGTCGCAGCAGGCACCCAGTGGACGCTCATTCTCCTGCCCTTTCTGCATGTCTATTTGCAGTAAGCTAACTAGCATCAGGGACTCTAGAAGTCTGGGGCCTGCAGTAGGGGCATCTGGGACCCTTTCAAGAAGTGTTTTCCTGGAAAACGGATCTGCTCAGCCCCTTTTCACCTTCTAGAGGATACTCTGAGCTAGTTCAGATACCTCCTTGGTGAGGGAGGGGCAGTCCCTACCTCCCTCATTCTTGGCCAGAGACATGGGAAAGGAGTCTTTAGGGTTTTTTTTTTTTTTAAGACCTTTTTTTATTGATCTTTAGGGCTCTTAGCAGAAGTGAGGTGGTCCATGCCCTCAGATCAAAACAAGCTGTGGACTCTAGAAACCCAGGGCCATCCATGCCAATGCCCTGGGGCGCCTGTACAGCTGGTTTGGGCAGGGGGAGGGGGGCAAGGACAAAGGAAAGTGGGGAGAGAGGTCTACAGGCCGGATGAAGGCCCCTCTCCCTGTCAGGGAGCTCACAAAGGATCCCCGACATCCTCTCCGTCTATCTTCACACCAGTCCCAGGGGATGGATGGAGTCCAACCCAATCCTCAAGCCCAGGTCTGCCTATCCACACCCCACCCACAGGCTGATTCCCATGCTACAGGCAATAAAGCAGAGAGGGGTTGGCGCCTCCTCCAAGGTGCCAGGCATGTAGACATGATCTGTGTGGCAGATCCCGACCAGAGGAAGCAGACAGAGAAGGGGAGAGGAAGGCCCACTCCTCAAATGCAGCCACCATGGAAATTCAGGGGACATACCTTTCTTTCCATCTCCAGAGGTAAACTCGCTCGTGAAGTGCTCCTGTAAAATAAGACCGTGGTAAGGGGAACCTATAGGTGGCACTATCACTATACTCATTCCAGCTCACGCAGCCAGCAGGGCAATCAGGCCGAGGTGAGTCAGCCAGGAAACCGTTAAGGTGAGCTGGAAAGGGCTGTACTCACCAGGCAATTAAATGCTTATTAAATACCCATGCTGAGCAGCTACCTCTGGACCAGTGGGGGAATTTGACAAGCAGGGTAAAAACCTGGATGCTGCCTTTGGAGAATTTATAATCTGAGAAAAGAGACACTGGGCACAAACTGGTTTCTCAGGGCTGTGGGCAACTGAGGCTGGCTTGCCTGAAGTAATTAAAACCCTGGGCCTGGGTCTGTGAAGGCAGTGGGCCAGGGGCGGGGGTGTGGGTACACACTGCTTTCAGTATTTCCTCCAAAGCTTAACAGAAACTGTATATTAACCTGTGATGGGGGTTACACAGGCTAACTAAAACATCAGGTTTCTTTTCATTCATTCATTCATTCATTCATATTTGGAGATGGAGTTTTGCTCATGTTGCCCAGGCTGGAGAGCAATGATGCGCTCTTGGCTCACTGCAACCTCCACTTCCCAGTTCAAGCAATGCTCCTGCCTCAGCCTCCCTAAGCAGCTGCCTGCTACCACACCCAGCTATTTTTTTGTATTTTCAGTAGAGGCGGGGTTTCACCATGTTGGCCAGGCTGGTCCTGAACTCCTGACCTCAGGTGATCCACCCACCTCAGTCTCCCAAAGTGCTGGGATTACAGGCATGAGCCACCACGCCTGGACTTTTTTTTTTTTTTTTTTTTTTTTTTTTTTTTTTGAGGCAGAGTCTCACTCAGGCTGGAGTATAGTGGTATGATCTTGGCTTACTTCAACCTCTGCCTCCTCGTTCAAGCAATTCTCGTGCTTCAGCCTCCTGAGTAGCTGCAATTTTTGCCCTGCTAATTTTTATATTTTTAGTAGAGACAGCGTTTTGCCACGTTGGCCAAGCTGGTCTCAAACCTCTGACCTCAAGTGATCTGCCAGCCTCGGCTTCCTAAAGTGCTGAGATTACAGGTGTGAGCCACTGCACCCAACCAAAAATATCAGGTTTCTTTATGCTGTTAGAAGTCAGATCAATCAACTTAGTGTGGAACCTTGGTTATCTCAGACTGATCAGATTCTCTGATTAGAGTCTGATATCTGATTAATAAGGATGAGGAAGAGATTATATAAGTGCACTCTGTTTGGCAGTCAGAACTGTTCAGGGAATGGGGCCAATGCGGAAAATAAACTGGTTACTTGGAGGTGACGGGGTGAGAACTGCCACATCAAAGATCTTTTCAAAATGGCTTCAGCCAAACACAAAAACAGAAAAAAATAGGAGAACAGAGATATCCTGAAAAATAACAGACCAAGCCAGTTTTACCCCTTTCTGGACCCTAGGATTTGTGGCACATGTGCAGAGGGAACGGGATGTCCCCACCAAGGCCACCAGGTGGCGGCTCCTTTCCGCAGCCAGACCTCGGGACTTACCGTGCCCACGCGATTGATGGCGCAGGTGAAGCAGTGATTGGCAATGGCTGCGTTTCTGGCCTCAATGGGCCACATGGACTCACTGTAAGAGAGGACCAAGAGGAACCAGGTTGCCGACTTTCTGGCCAGACTTAGTCAATGCTCAGCCCTAAGCTCAGCCTGGCTGCAGGCTTTCCTTGGCCAGTGGTGGGGATAGCCAGAAGACACTGGTCACACCCCAAACCTGCAAGCAGGCCAGCCTGTCTTCAGCACCTTGCCCTGGCCTGAACACCCTTCTGGAAGGGACTGCTGCAGGCAGAAACCACGTGGCTGTGCTCTGCCAGAATTAGCAGCCCTGGATCAAATCCTCATCCTGAGCCTGTTTCCTTCTCTGAAAGGTCCTCAGAGGAAGACTGTGAAGGCTGACCACGCAGGTGAAGATCCACGTGGTAGGAGTTCCATAACCACCACTTCCTGCCTCCATCTCTTCTCCTGGAACCCACCTTCTGGGCTGGGCAGAACCTCTCCTGGTGAATGCCAGAGGGAGCCAGGGGCCTGGAGGGCTTGTGCAGGGCCTGTGAGGGCTAAGCATGGGCACTCCCTGCCCTATCCTAACTCTCCTACCTTTCTGTGCTGCCTTGCAAGGCAAGGCAATCTCCAAAGGGGGAGATTTCGGGACCAGCAAACAAGAAAGGAACTTAGGTAATAGGATAAAGGGTCAGATTCTGCAGCAGGATCACCTCCTCCAAGCTGGTCCATTTCCCAGTGATTTCCCATTTCCCTCTTCTGAACCTTGAGCCTCTAAGTAAAGACTCCCTGGTTCTCTTACTGGCCAGGGGGGGAAGTTGCCCAGGAGGGAGGCATCCCACGGGCTCGGCTGAGTTGTGGGCCTTCCTCAGACTAGCACCTGTGAAGGGAGAGTGTGATGGGAGATAGAGCCCCAACCAGAGACCCTGACTTTCTCTGGCCTGCCAACTAAGATGTGACATGGAAGCCAGTGGGCCTTCTTGTTACTAATTATCTTTTGTCTGAGGAACATCTTTAAGACTCCAGATTGACAGGAGTAATGCCCACTTAGAAACACTGTGTGACTGGGAGCAAAATGCCCTGGAATCTTCCTTCCTGTCAGCATGCACCTGGTTTAAACCAGGGAGTAGGTGGAGGGGGTGGGTGCTTGTCACAAGCCTAATTCTCAGGAGGATTCACAAGTCTGGGGAAAAAAAAAACAACAAAACAATCACAGGCTTGATTGAGGGGACTCATTTTGCTGCTTTTCTTCCCCAGCTGCTAAGCCAAGCTGACAAAACTTTTCAGAAACGACTTTTACAGAAACACACCAGTAAACGACATTTTCAGGAATTAAACAGACACTTGCGGGGCGATTGCCAAACATCTTAGTTGCAATTCTCCAGGGAGGTGTCCCGCATAGGACCCAAACCCACAGCTGGCAATAAAATGTACGCTCTCAAAACTACCAGGGGAAAGGAAGCTGGGGTTAGTGAGAGCCCAGTGTGTGCGGGAATCATGAGTCTGATGGGGAAGTGGGGACCGTTGCCATATTCCCAGTGCAGTGCTCACAAATCCCTAAAAATAATCGCAGTGGGAAGGCAAGATGCAGCAAGGGGATAGGATGGTGACTTGCCAATGAATATACACAGGTGGCAGAAATCTTCGGTCATACAAGCTGCAAGGGACACATTCCAGGATTATCAAGATAACCCAATCAAAAGCACTCAGACACTACTGTGTGCTGAGAACTGTGGGACTCAAAAATGAATGAGGACACCCTGCTGGCCCACGTGTGTGCATACACATGTATATGTCTGTCTCTTACACAGGCAGCAGAAGGTGCCAGAAAAGGGAATGGATGGTTCTGGAAGCTATGATCCAATGCTTGTGTGCAGCTGGTGGGGATTTGCCCAGCATTGTGCTAAAAAACACTATCAATTCCATCATTTATTATTTTAAGCAAACCGCCCAGAATCCTATCATATAATAAACCACCTGCTGCCTTTCACCCACACTCCATGACTATCCTTGTCCATAGGCAAACTTTTTTTTTTTTTTGAGACGGGAGTTTCCCTCTTGTTACCCAGGCTGGAGTGCAATGGTGCGATCTCGGCTCACCGCAACCTCCGCCTCCTGGGTTCAGGCAATTCTCCCGCCTCAGCCTCCTGAGTAGCTGGGATTACAGGCACGCGCTACCATGCCCAGCTAATTTTGTGTATTTTTAGTAGAGACGGGGTTTCACCATGTTGACCAGGATGGTCTCGATCTCTTGACCTTGTGATCCACCCGCCTCGGCCTCCCAAAGTGCTGGGATTACAGGCGTGAGCTGCCGTGCCCAGCCCATAGGCAAACTTTAAAAAATGTTTTTCTAAGAGTTCTGACCACAGCCTGGACATCTTTTTCTTGCTCACAGGCTTTTGTCATGTTGCATTACCTTCAAAATGACTCTTTTTAGTGGCTATACAACCACCTGTGGAAGAGATGGGTTGCAATATACTTAGCCTGGACACTTCCCCCAAGGCCAGCTTTTTGATTATTGTAAGTAAGCTGTTGTGAGCACCTTCGCATGCATTGCCTTTCCCATTTTTTTTTTCCTGTCTTGCTCTGTCACCCAGGCTGGAGTGCAGTGGCACAGTCTCAGCTCATTGCAACCTCTGCCTCCTGGGTTCAAGCAATTTTCCTGTCTCAGCCTCCTGAGTAGCTGGGACTACAGAGGCCCACCACCACGACCGGCTAATTTTTGTATTTTTAGTAGAGATGGGGTTTCACTATGTTGGCCAGGCTGGTCTCAAATTCCTGACCTCAAGTGATCTGCCAGCCTTGGCCTCCCCAAGTACTGGGATTACAGATGTGAGCCACTGTGCCTGGTTTTCCCTCCCTCTTTTAATTGTTTCTTCAGGCTACAGTTCTAAGGGTATCATTATCAGGCCAAAGGGCACGAGCATTTTAGGAGCTCATGAAACATACTGCTTTCCAAAAGACCTGTTAGTTTTTACTGCTAGCCTCACCCTGAAAAGCCAAGGGCTGGATGATTCTTGGCTGAGGAAGGAAAAATCAATCATTTTTAATAAGCCTAATAGGCTGCTGAGGACATAGCAATTATATGCATATTACACTGGGGTGCTTCTGTTTGCCTAACCGGAGCTAATAAAAGCCTAAGATAAAAGGGTCGGGGAGGGCCTCTGAACACACAAGGCCAGGAGCCATCTGAGTCCATGGCCATAGCTTTGCCTGCTCTGGCCCAGAAGCCGGATGCCCTAGTGCTTCTGGTTCCTCTAGGGACCCCTGTGGGGAGATGGAGCTTGCCAAGTGTCTTACCCAGAGCCAGTGGAGGGGGCTGCTCTAGGGGGTGGCCCCAAAGTTCTGCTCAGGCCTGGTAGCTGGATGACCAGTAATAACACTACCCACGACCACCAATGAACGCTGTCACTGGTGACTGGGCCACCATGAGACTCCAGAATGTTCTCTGAGGGCAGATGGAGGCCTGATTTTTTCCCCTTCTACCCAACAGTACCCCTTCTGGACATGGACCAGATGTCCAGGTAGTGGGCAGGGTGGTAGACCTGAGGTAACAGACGAGGGGTTACATTCTGGCTCCAGAAGGAACCTGCTGTGCAAACGCTGAAAGCGGAGGGGATGTTACTCTTGAGAAAGGGGCAGTGTGCTGAAAAGAAAAGGTAAACATTACACCCTGACATTTAGAAGAAATTCAATTGAAATTTAGTCAAGAATGAGGACGAGAGAGACAAGTGTGGGCTGCAGAGACTCAAAGCTGCCCACCCACCAGAACTCCCCATTCCCCACCCACAGCAGGACAGGGCACACCCCTGTCCTGCTGGGGACACAGGCAGCCAAGACCATGGAGAATGAAAGCCAGCACCTCCTGCTGCAGGAATCCTGCTTGGGAGGAAGTGAGTTGGGAAGAAAGTATTTGCACATAAATTCCTAGAGTTCTGTTACTTGTAGTGATGCAAAACTGGAAACCACTGCTTAGCCTTTGGGGAAGAGAGAGGCAGCAGCAGCACAGTCACACAGGCTCAGATTAGCTCACCGGCTGTGGCTCCTAAATGAGGGGCCATACTGCCCAGGAGTTCTCGGGCTTCCAGGGCCATTCTCCCCTCATCCCGAGACCTGCCTTGACAAGGCCAGTTGTATCTGTGTAGGGGTGAGGCTAACACCAAAACACTTACGTGTTACAAAAATAAAACCAAGTTTTTTTGGTTCAAGTTTCCTTGACTGATCACCAACTCCCTCATTTGCAGCTTCTCTTGTCCAGATGTCTGGCACCTACTATGCTCCAAGGACTTAGGTGTGAGTGGTTTTGTTTGTTTTTTGAGACGGAGTCTCACTCTGTCACCAGGCTGGAGTACAGTGGTGCCATCTTGGCTCACTGCAACCTCTACCTCCCAGGTTCAAGTGATTCTCCTGCCCCAGCCTCCCAAGTAGCTGGGACTACAGGCGCGTGCCACCACGCCGAGCTAATTTTTGTAATTTTGGTAGAGACAGCGTTTTGCCATGTTGGCCAGGCTAGTCTCAAACTCCTGACCTCAAGTAATCCGCCTGCCTCAGCCTCCCAAAGTGCTAGGATTACAAGTGTGAGTCACAGAGCCCAGCCCAAAGTGGGGCTTTCTGAAGTCCCCTGGTGACTACAGGGAAGGGGGGAATGATTTTCAACTCAGTGTTCAGAATCACAGCAGAGGTTGGTGTTTTACTGTAGAGCAGCTCTTGCTGTGGGTGGGAGATTGTTCATTGCCATCTCAAGGATTTTTTTTAACCGAAAAGCTGGTCACACGCACAACATACAATCCTGGGGCTCAGCTCTGTTAACATCCTGATGGCCGAGACTGCCTGCTGCCACCTTTGAGCTCCACAGCCCAGCCTTGGGTTTCAGCTGGCTGGGCCCCAGGAAGCCCCCAGACCCCACCAAGTGAGTAACCTGAGTGCTCCAACGGTGGCTGAGGGGTTGAAGATGATCTCGGCCCTGTTGATGCTGTACATAAGCCAGTTGAGGGGGTGGTGCCGCCCGTAGCAAATGTTCACCGCGATCCTTCCAAACTGTGTCTGGAACACGGGGTGGCCCAGGTTTCCCTCCATGTAGTAAGTGGACTGAAAAGCAAAGGGCCATATACTGATGCCTCTGACCTTTAAGATGTCCCTTTCCTTGGCAGAAAAACAGAAGTATCACCCATAGTCCAGGGATGGTTACACTCCTGAGTATGACTCTAAGTTCCAGAATTTCAGTATGATAAAAACAAAACACACACAAAAAAACCCTGACACCAAGCAAGCCAGCCACTGGGGGAAATCACAGTGGCTGAAGCATTTGTCCAATCTCCTTCGTGACATGTCGAAAAAAATCCCCACAACCACATTCCACACTATTTCAAATTCTGGTGAGCTTTCAGTCGTGGTCCAACTCTAAGGCTCAGGTTTGGCTGGCATTAACATGAGTTGGTCACTGCCCTCAGCTACCACGCGTCATCATATAGAACAGTGGAGCCCCGGAGACCCAGAGCACATCCAAGTAACCCTCTCCCTGCTCAGAGGAGAAAGCTGTTTCCTCAGTGGGTGTAACTTGCGCAAATGATTAAGGCCAAACCTTCTAGTGGAACCCTGAAAGTGTACCTTCTCCATCCTGCCTAGGGTTAAGGAGGTCCCTGTGGGGCAGGCAGACTGGACCCCATCCTCCCATCTCTGCCTGTCTGTCTGCTCCTCAGGGTGCCAGGGCAGGGACACTGTCCTGGACAGCACTGAGGGAAGCCAGAGGGCAAATCGGGATCCCAAACAGATCTGCTCTGGGAGCCTTTCACCTCCTCCTGACCCTGGCCATCGAAAATGGCCATGGTCAGGCAGCAACCAGGATGTGTGCATGCGGTGGACACCAGAGCAGATCCTGCTGCGCTAAGCCCCGTGCTATATCTGCAGGGAGGTAAAGATTAATCCCAGGGTAAACAGGTGAGGGGTGCGTCTTCCCACCCCCACCTCCAGCTGTTGCTGAGAAACACTGGGTTCGTCTTTCTCCCTGGGAAACCTCCTCTAGCACTGCAGACCATTTCTTGTCTGCCTGACCAGCCTGAGAATGGCCAGGACCCCCACAATCATGGAGAGAGAACTGGGGACATCACATCCTGAACAACTGTATTAACCACAAAGCAAGTTCTGATTTAGAATCTTAGGCATTAGGCAGCGCTCATTTCCCTCCTTCAAACGTCCACCCCCTCCCATCTTACCTATCCAGGGGTTGGCATTAATCAACTAAAATGGCCCCCCCAACTTGTGCCCTGATCATGGGGCACATGAAAACACCACATGATGCACACATACACAAATACACGTTTGCCCACTGTCACCTGACACACAAACATGGGCCACCTCAGACCCCCCCCATGAGTCATGGACAAGGAATGCCACGTTCCAAACAAGGACAGAGCTGTGGTGTGCTAGGCTCTGAGTCTGAAAAGGGGCCACACAAATCATTTCATGTTTGTGGAATGTTTATTTTTGTTTTTTGAGACGGAGTCTCGCTCTGTCACCTAGGCTGGAGTGCAATAGTGGGATCTCAGCTCACTGCAACCTCAGCCGCCTGGGTTCAAGCAATTCTCCTGCCTCAGCCTCCCAAGTAGCTAGGAGTATAAGTGCCTGTCACCACACCCAGCTAATTTGTTTTTTTTTTGTATTTTTAGTAGAGACAAGGTTTCACCATGTTGGGCAGGCTGGTCTCAAACTCCTGACCTCATGATCCTCCCGCCTTGGCATCCCGAAGTGCTGAGATTACAGGCTTGATCCACCATGCCCAACCTGTTTTTGGTTGTAATTTATATACATACCACTTACTTCAAAGAAGAATTCAGGAGGCTAAATCAGGTTGTATTAAAAAAAAATGCACCATTGTGCTAAAGGTGTTTGGGACTCCTCTGAGAGTCCCGCCTGAATCCTGTCTGACTGTGTGATGCAGGGCAATGTCAGGTGAGCCTCCGAGCCCAGCAGCCACACTGTGGTCCAGTGGAGTATGCATGACATGGAGCATTACCCTTCATGGAACTTCCCCACAGAAAGTCCCAGAGATCCACAACACACAGAGGGGCAAGTGAGCAGGGCTGGTTATCTGTCTGATGGTGGCTCACCTCGTTGAAATCACCCACTCTGGGGATGTGGTTCTTCCTAGTCTTTCCCAGGACTGCTCCAGAATTGGAGATCACCACGGCTGTATTCCACAAAGTGTCCCCATGCTCGCTGTCTCGTTCCAGGATGGGAGACACTACCACCATGTTATGGTTCTTCGCCAGCTGGAAAAATGATGAATATAGCAGAGTCCCACTTTCAAACCCATTGTTGTAGTTTTTTATTGGAGAAGAATTTAATGATCCTACTAAATCATTAGGCTTGGGTCAGAGCAATCACTTGCATTTGTTGTCTGGAACGCTAAATGCCCTGATGTCCACGCTTTGCTAAATAAGAATCATCATTGTCCTGTGCACAGTTGGTGGTAGAGCAAAATGGTGCAGCTGCTCTGGAAAACCATATGGGAGTTCCTCAAAAAATTACACAAGAATTACCATTTGATCTGGCAATCCCAATCCTGGGTATATACCAAAAGGATTGAAAGCAGGGTCTCAAAGAGATTTGCAAATCCATGTTCACTGCAGCATTACTCACAGTAGCAATCTCTTTGCTATTGTGAGTAACGCTGCAATGAGCATGGATTTACAAATGTGACGGGCACTTGGGTGAAATGTGCCATGTTTCGTTCATCCATTCACCCAAGTGCCCATCAATGGGTGAATGGATAAACGAACCGTGGCACACCCATATAATGGAGTATCATCCAGCCTTAAATGCTATGGTTCTATACTATACATGGATAAACCTTGATGATATGCTAAATGAAATAAGCCAGTCCCAAAAAGACAAATACTGTATGATTCCATTTGTGTAAGGTATCTAGAGTAGTCAAATTCACAGAAATGGAGAGTATAATATTAGTAGCATGGTAATTGCAGGGGTTGGGGGAGTGGGGAGCTATTGTTTAATGGGTATAGAGTCAGATTTGCAAGATGCAAAAGTTCTGGAGATCTGCACAACGTGAATATACTTTACACTACTGAACTTAAAATGGTTAAAATGGTACATTTTATATATATATTTTACTACTTTAAAAAAGAATAAAAGCCAGGCATGGTGGCTCAAGCCTACAATCCCAGCACTTTGGGAGGCCGAGGAGAGTGGATCACGAGGTCAAGAGATCAAGACCATCCTGGTCAACAAGGTGAAACCCTGTCTGTACTAAAAATACAAAAATTAGCTGGGCATGGTGGTGTGCACCTGTATTCCCAGCTACTCGGGAGGCTGAGGCAGGAGAATTGCTTGAACCCAGGAGGCAGAGGTTTCGGTGAGCCAAGATGGTGCCATTGCACTCCAGTCTGGGTAACAACAGCAAAACTGTCTCAAAAAAAAAAAAAATAATAAATAAATAAAAAATAAAAAGAATAATCAAACTTCTTATCTACACCAAAAATAAATCTCTTTGGCATCAAATTCCTTTTGTTCCAAGTAAGAACATCAAGCCCTGGTGACCTCAGGATGAGCAGCCCGGTAGGTCATTTGTCCTCTGCTCTTTATTTTTATTTATTTATTTGTATAAAGTTGGGGTTTCACCATGATGGCCAGGCTGGTCTTGAACTCCTGACCTCAGGTGATCCACCCACCTTGGCCTCCCAAAGTGCTAGGATTACAGGCATGAGCCACTGCACCCGGTCTTGTCCTCTGCTCTAATTAGCCATCATGATCTCTGGCCTTAACGACAGGACAGGGGAGAGGCACACTCGGAAGGCAGCACTAGGGGCCATGTTAAGAGCAGCCTTAAGTCCCTGTGGAGGTAGAGTGTCCCTAACATCAGCTCCCTTTTAAACTCTTCCTCCAGCCCTGGCTCAGGCTTATCATCTGCAAAAGTCCCCTTCCTCTTTTCTCCATAGCAAGGAACCAACAAACCGGTGAATGAGAGATTTTTTTTTTCCCTTATAGCCTGAGAACACCAGTGTTTGGAATCACAACTAAGTATTGATAAAGTCACCATGATTATATATAGGTGTGCCCCAAAAGCCCCGAAGTATATACATAAAATCTGAAAGAGAATACAAAGAAATGAAAACAGTTCTTTTGTTAGAGGTGAAAATAAGGATAAACTACCCTTCGTCACCTCATGAAATGTTACGGGCTTTCTGGTAACAGCTTTATAAGACATAATTCACACAGCATTAAGATTCACTTTAAGATCAGTCAAGTCCAGTAATGAGAAGTGGGGAAAGAGCAGAACAAGGAGTCACTCTTTTGAAGTGTGAAGTTCAGTAGTATTCAGGATATTCAGAGTTGTGCAACCATCGCCACTACCTAATTTTAGAACATTTCATCACCCTAAATGGAAACTTTGTGCCCATTAGCAATCATTCCCTTCCTTCCTCGCCCCCAGCCCCTGGCCACCACTGATCTGCTTTCTGTCTCTACGGATTTGCCTATTCTGGACAGTTCATATAAATGGGACCACACAACATGTATTATGAGGTTTTAATGAAGAAAAATCAAAAACAATTTCTACACTGATGAGACACAGGCCATGAATCGAAGCTTCTGTGGCTCAAGCTAACTGCAGTGGAGCCGGCAGAGCTCTGGTTGAGGAACTGGCCCCTCTGGTCCCTGAATGCCAGCTCTGCCACTTGCCAGCTGCAGGACTTACTACAAAAGTCACCTGCTACCATCCTCCCTGGGCTGTAGCTCCCTTGCCTAAAAAAGCTACTAATGGCCCTTCTGGAGCCTTACACTCTCCAATTTTAAGAGTATGCTAAAAAAAAAAAAAGGTGGCAAATAGTCTTATCTTATCTGGCAAAACAAACACCAAAGGAGTGCATTTTCCATGATGAAAGGCCATACGCAGAAGCTGTGGTCGTGCTTTGTGACTTGCACATATTTGGCAGCTGCTACCAGAGGCACAGTTAATGTCCTACCTTCTGACAGAATTTGGTGGTGGGCCCGTCTTCTGCTGACTCAGCAAATTCTGTCCAAGGAAGCTTCTCTCTCGTACAGAAGGCAAAGGGCATAGCTATAAATAGGAGAAAGGGCAGAATTATATCCAAGATGCACAGCCTCTGAGCGGGGCTCCTCAGCCCAGCAGCAGGAGGTCACTGCAAGAGAATACAGCCTCAGGAGTGCCACGGCCTGGCTTCTGGGTCCCATTCCTGGCTGTGGGCACTGGGCAGCCCCTACCTCTGGGCTTCATGGCAAACAAGAAGCTGGGCCAAATGTCTTTCCCAAAGTCTTAAAAACAATTGCAGCGCAGACATTTTCACACTGATGTTTCCAGGAACATCATTCACAATAGCCAAAAGCTGGAAACAATCCAACTGTCTTATCGACAGATAACTGACAAGTAAAACATGGTGTATACATACACAATGGAATATCACTCAGCCTTTTTAAAAAGGGAAAGAATTCTGATACATGCAGGTAAAATGTGGTGCATATAGATACAATGGAATAGTATCCAGCCCTCTTAAAAAGGGAAGAAATTCTGGTACATGCTCACATGGATGAACCTTTAGGAATATGCTAAGGGCCAGGCATGGTGGGTGGCTCATGCCTGTAATCCCAGCATTTGGGAGGCAGAAGCAGGTGGATCACAAGGTTAGGAGATCGAGACCAGGCTGGCCCACATAGTGAAACCCCATCTCTACTAAAGATACAAAAAAATTAGCCGGGGGTGGTGGCATATGCCTGTAATCTCAGCTACTCGGGAGGCTGAGGCAAGAGAATTGCTTGGACCCAGGAGGCGGAGGTTGCAGCGAGCCGAGATCGTGCCATTGCACTCCAGCCTGGGCTACAGGGCAAGACTCTGTCTCAAAAAAAAAAAAAAAAAAAAAGTTAGCCAGGTGTAGTGGCAGGTGCCTGTATTCCCAGCTACTTGGGAGGCTGAGGCAGGAGAATCGCTTGAACCTGGGAGGCAGAGGTTGCAGTGAGCCAAGATCATGCCACTGCACTCTAGTCTGGGTGACAGACAAGACTCTGCCTCAAAAAAAAAAAAAAAAAAAAGTATATGCTAAGATACAAAACAAATACTGTAGGAGTCTACTCACAGGAGGTATTTAGAGTAGTCAAATTCCTAACGACAAAAAAGTAGTAGAGCTGTCAGGGGCCAGAAGAGGGGATGTACTGTTTAATGGGTGGAGGGGTCCAATTCTGAATGATGAGAAAAGTTCTAGAGCTCATGGTGATGATGGTATACAACAACATTAATGTACTTAATGCCTCAGACCATACAATTAAAAACGGTTAAAATGGTAAATATTGTTAGATATATCTATATGCCACAATTACAAAAAATGTTTTAAATAGCAAAAGTTCCCAACCAGCAGATCTCAAGCTGCTGGCCAATCTGCAGGGTGGCAGGAGCTCCATGAAGACTCCTTGGGTAAAGTATCAGAAGGACACTGGGGATGGCACTGGGACCCTCCCTCCTCCTAGTGATAGGGAGGCTTCTTCAGAAATAAGAAAAGCTACTCAGTAATGATCCCACAAAAAGTACCACTGGATGGGATGAGTATCTGCAAGGATTAATGCTACTACTCTCATAATCTCCGGCCAGGCCCTACCAGGGAGCTAATTCTGTAGGAAATTCATCCAACTCACTGGTTTTTGCTTGCCTCTTTCTTTTTTTTGAGAAGGAGTGTTGCTCTTGTCGTCCACCCTGGAGTGCAATGGCATAATCTTGGCTTATTGCAACCTCTGCCTCCTGGGTTCAAGCAATTCTCCTGCCTCAGCCTCCTAAGTAGCTGGCATTACAGGCATGTACCACCATGCCTAATTTTTGTATTTTTAGCAGTGATGGGGTTTTGCCATGTTGGCCAGGCTGGTCTCAAACTCCTGACCTTGTGATCTGCCTGCCTCGGCCTCCCAAAGTACTTTTTCTCCTTCCAAACAGTTAGGTACACACATAGTAACAGTTCAAGGATGCTGGTCATCTCTATGCACACCAGGTTCAACGCAGACCCCTATGCAGGGGAAGGAGGGGAATGTGCTGGAGTGGGCCTTGGGACCTTTGGCTATGTATGCAATGCTGCTCTGCAGCCCAGCCACACATGGATATCTGCAGTGCATGGAGTTATCTTCAGTACCTGCCAGTCTGCTTGTGTGAATGGTGCCTCACTGTGAGTAAATGTTTCCCATATGTTTGGTGAGGCTGAGCCCCTCACCACACATTCACTGGCCAGTCTGGATTCCTCCCCTACATTTTTTTTGTTCATACCCTTTGCCTATTTCCTACTGGGCTATTCATCTTTTTCTTTCTCAATGTGGAAAACTAAATTTCTTATCTGGACCAATTCCGTTAACTCTATAGATCTCCCACATCACAGTAACCCAAGTCCATTTCTTTGTTTTGTTGTTGTTGCTGCTGTTTTGAGATGGAGTTTTGCTCTTGTTGCCCAGGCTGGAGTGCAATGTCAGGATCTCAGCTCACTGCAACCACCACTTCCAGGTTCAAGTGATTCTCCTGCCTCAGCCTCCCAAGTGGCTGGGATTACAGCTGCCTGTCACCACGCCTGGTTAATTAATTTATTTTTTATTTTTAGTAGAGACAGGTTTCGCCATGTTGGTCAGGCCAGTCTCGAACTCTTGACCTCAGGTGATCCCCTGCCTCAGCCTCCCAAAGTGCTGGGATTGTAGGCATGAGCCATCATGCCCAGCCCAAGTCTATTTCTTTTAAAGGGATTAGCCTAACAGAAGTTTCCAGTTGTCTGCTATTGTTCCAGCTACTTTGAACTAACTTGAGGAGGGTTTGCAGAAAGCTGCCTGATGTGATGGGGCAGGGTTTAACTGGCCTCTGCTAGGGGCTTATGGCCTGTTTAGGAGTAACAATTATAGCCAGCATTTCCTAAATGCCAAGTACATGTGGAACACGGTGCTTGATAGAAAATAGCTCCCCCACACAGATACAGAGGGACGGGGGTCTCCGAACAAAGAGATGCCCTGTTTGCAGTGGAAAAGGTGGTTGGTTATATCTGGAGGCTGAAGGAGGTGGTGTCTGATTTGCATAGGGCCCTGGGGATTGGTTTGACCAGGTGTGTCATTCAAGTAGCCCGCAAAAAACCTGGCCCTCCCACCTTAGCCCTTTGATATGCAAATATGAGCCACCATGATGTCTTGAACATGTGTGAGTTATCTGGAGGCAGCCAGGACACTTGGCACAGGTGGTGACAAGGAGGAGAGGGCAGGAATCACCACGTTGGCCAAGTTGGGTGGACCTAGTTTCTAATCGCCTGCATGTGCATATCAAAGCTTGCTAGCCTGGGTCTTTAAGAAGCCTTTTCCGTTAGAAAAGAAATCGTTCAGGGGTTGCTTCTTTTTTTTTTTTTTTTTTTTTTGAGACAGAGTTCACTCTTGTTACCCAGGCTGGAGTGCAATGGTGTGATCTCGGCTCACCGCAACCTCCGCCTCCTGGGTTCAGGCAATTCTCCTGCCTCAGCCTCCTGAGTAGCTGGGATTACAGGCACACGCCACCATGCCCAGCTAATTTTTTGTATTTTTAGTAGAGATGGGGGTTTCACCATGTTGACCAGGATGGTCTTGATCTCTTGACCTCGTGATCCACCCAACTCAGCCTCCGAAAGTGCTGGGATTACAGGCTTGAGCCACCGCGCCCGGCCTCAGGGGTTGCTTCTTACTACAGGAAAAGGTTCCACAAGAACCTTTACCCCTTTTCTAGCTGCCTAAAAATCTTTCTTTATAACTCCTGTATTAGTAATAGCTCATTTCACATCCCTGTGAAGCAGGCATCACCCCCTTTACTTCACAGAGAAGGAAGAGAAGCCTCAGCCTTTCAGTCCCAGGAAGACTGGTCCTAAGAGTACCACAGTAAATATCCTGCCAATGGCACCACTTCTATCTTGCCAAGCAGGCGGCAGGCACTGCCAGCAACAGCCCCGGGGGCCTTGGTACCAGGCTCAAGGTTCCCCAGGCTCGCCTTCTGTGAAGAGAGATGAATTATTTTAAGGAAGCCATCAGAAAAGCTGTTGAAAACACAAATGCTCCTTAATGACCATTAATTCTCAGCTTTCAGAGCATTAGGAATGAGTCAAGTGCCCCCAGAGAATAAATGACTTCTTTTCCTGTTTACATAACCACTCTAATGTAAACACACTTTCAAAAGAAGGATGTGGAAGAGGGGGTTGGGTGAGGCTGGCTGCAAAGTCCTAACTACAGTTCTTCAAGCAGAAGGAAAGGGGTTCCACAAGCATTGACCCAACACCTGGCCCTCAGAAACTGCCAGCCTAGAGGGAAGGAGATGAATGGGAACCTGGTGTGGCCATACAACCTGGCAGGATGCAGTGGTCAGCTCTGTCTGGGGGAGTCCCCAGGGTCCCACAAAGGAGGGGTGCCTGTGCTGGACCTTGATAAATGAGAGGGAGTTCCAGATCCAAGAAAGGGAAGATGTTAGTTTAATTATCCAGTCAATACTAATTTGTAGAGCCTGTCATGCACCAGGGATTATTCTTGCCACTAAAGATAAAACAGGAATGGGTGGAGAGTTGGGAATAACAAACACAGGTACTGTCCTCATGCAGCTCATAGCCTAATGAAGAGAGTACAAATGTAACACAAAACAGGAAAACGACATGAACTCGTGGGTAGAGACGCAGATTGGACACAGACATGAGCTCTTTCCTGAAACCCCATCAACATGATAGGAAAGCAATGTTCATGCAGAGGCATCTACCCACAAGGATAGGGCACTGAGGGAGGGGAAGCAGTACCAAAAAAACGAGTAGCTGGAAGGTAGATGCAGGCAAATCTCTCAGTAGATCAGAGAAAACTGAGTCCTGCTAGCAGTAAAGAATGTCTCCTGCTTCTCGAAAGCTCAGGAACCAGGGGTACGTACCAGGTACCTCTGAAGGCTGGGAAGCAGGGAAGGATGATAAACAAGAACTGGTCAAAGGTCTACTGAAGCAGCAGTTAGGGGCTGGGCGCAGTGGCTCACGCCTGTAATCCCAGCACTTTGGGAGGCTGAGGTGGGTGGATTACCTGAGGTCAGGAGTTCGAGACCAACCTGGCCAAAATGATGAAACTCCATCTCTACTAAAAATACAAAAATTAGCTAGGTGCAGTGGCATGTACCTGGAATCCCAGCTACACAGGAGGCTGAGGCAAAAGAACTGCTTGAACCCAGGAGACAGAGGTTGCAGTGAGCTGAGATCACGCCGCTGCATTCCAGCCTGGGTGACAGAGCAAGACTCCATCTGAAAAGAAAAAAAAAAACAAAACGAACCAGTTAGGGCCAAGTGCAGTGGCTCATGCCTATAATCTCAGCACTTTGGTAGGCTGAGGTGGGTGGATCACCTGAGGTCAGGAGTTTGAGACCAGCCTGACCAACACAGCAAAACCCCATCTCTACCAAAACTACAAAAAAAGCTGGGGGTGGTGGCATGGGCCTGTAGTCCCAGCTACTTAGGAGGCTGAGGCAGAAGAATTGCTTGAACCTGGGAGGCCGAGGTTGCAGTGAGCTGACATTGTGCCACTGCCCTCCCAAGGTTCCATTTAAAAAAAAAAAAAAAAAAAAAAAAAGAAGCAGTAGTTAGAAGCCCAAGTCCTTTCTCCACACCAAGAGGCTAGGACCTGCCCCTTCCACCCTAGAAGAAGGCTAAAGGTTCATCCTCCAGAGATGGTTCAGCAGAGGCTCTGGCTTTGGAGAAGCAGGGCAGATGAAAGCAAATGATGTGTCAAAACAGAGGACTGGGTAAACATCAGCATGCTGGACCTTCTTGGCAAGAGAGCAGAAAAATCTCTAGGGACTCTGACCAGCCTGAAATGAATGACCCAGAGATACTAACATTGGGATTACCTGGAAATTACTACTAAATCAGATCACCCTATGATGGAGCTCAGTGGGTGAGCTCCTCCTACAAACTCAGAGCTCAGATTTTTAATCCCCAATTCTTAAAATCTGAGCAATCAAAACAGAGTCCAACTTGGATTAAGTAGGGACCACGCAGAGAGAAAACAAAATTTACTTAATATTTATATCCTTAGAGATAAGAGAAGATATTGCAACCATGATGCAAGAACAAGATGTAATATAACAGGGTCTTTCAGACCAAAAGAATGCTAGTAAATTCAAAATTTGACAGCAGAAATGAAAGGCTGAATAGGAGGGCTGACGGACAAATCAGATCAAATCCACCAGAAAATTGAGCAAAAAGACAAAGTGATAAGAAAGAGGATACTGGCTGGGTGACTTGGTCCTGTGGCTCATGCCTATAGTCCCAGCACTTTGGGAGACCAAGGCAGGAGGATTTCTTGGGCTCAAGAATTTGAGATCTGCCTGGGCAACAACACAGCAAGACCTGATCTTTATAGAAAAAAAAAAAAAATTTTTTTTCCAGAAAATTAGCCAGGTGTGGTGGCGTGCATCTTTGGTTCCAGCTACTCAGGAGGCTGGCGCAGGAGGATTGCTCGATCCTGGGAGGTCAATGCTGCAGTGAGCTGTGATTGTACCACTGCACTTCAGCCTCGGTGACAGAGTGAGACCATGTGTCAAAAACAAAACAAAACAAAACAAAAAAATAGGAGGAAATACACAACATAATTAGGGAACCAGTCCAGGGTTCCAATATCCTAATAGTAGGACTGTCTAGAAGGAGGAAAAAAAAGAGAAGAAAATAACAAATGAAATAATGAAAGAAAGTTTCCTAGATCAGCTGGGCGTGTTGGCTCATGCCTGTAATCCCAGCACTTTGGGAGGTCGAGATGGGCAAATTGCTTGAAGTCAGTAGTTTGAGACCAGCCTGGCCAACATGGCAAAAACCCATCTCAACTAAAAATATAAAAATTAGCTGAGCATGGTGGCACATGCCTATAATCCCAGTTACTTGGGAGGCTGAGGTAGGAGAATCACTTGAACCCAGGAGGCAGAGGTTGTAGTGAGCAGAAATAGCTCCACTGCACTCTAGCTTGGGTGACAAAGTGAGACTCCGTCTCAAAAAAAAAAAAAAAAAGAGAAAAGAAAATTTCCTAGATCTTCAGAACCCAAGTTTCTAGACTGAAAGAACCCACAGAGTGCCTAGAGTAGATTAAAATAGATACACACAATGGGATATCATTATGAAATTGAGTATTGGTGGAAAAGAGAAACTCCAACAGTCTTCCAGAAAAAAACAAGTCACAATGGGTCACAAATTAAAATTGTGTAGACTACTCAACAATGCCCCAAAGCTAGAAGACAATAGAACAATGTGTGTTCAAACTTCTGAAGGAAAATGATTTATTTTTTTTAAAGACGGGGTTTCCCGATGTTGGTCAGGCTGGTCTTGAACTCCTGACCTCAGCTGATCCACCCGCCTTGGCCTCCAAAGTGCTTTGATTACAGGCGTGAGCCACCACGCCCGGCCAGGAAAATGATTTCTAACCTCAAATTTGATGCTCAACCACACTATCAGGAAAATTGTAGAAGGAACATATTTTCAGATGGGCAAGGCCTCAGAAAGTTTACCTCTGATGTGTTCTTGCTCAGGGAACTACTTGTTCTGAGAGTCCCTAGTTAAATGGGGGCTCTAGTACCAGAGCAGCTGGCAACCCAGCACTAACAGGAAATGATGGGAGCTGGACATGGTCTCTACAGCATGCCTTTCACGGGATACATCTTGTGCGTGGTGGACAGTCTAATGCCTGTCTGTCCAACCTGTGACCAGGGGTCCCTCATACGTGAAACTTGTTTATACTGGCAGATTCTGTGTAGTTTTGTTTTTTATTTTGAGACGGAGTTTCGCTCGTTACCCAGGCTGGAGAGCAATGGCGCGATCTTGGCTCACCGCAATCTCCGCCTCCTGGGTTCAAGCAATTCTCCTGCCTCAGCCTCCTGAGTAGCTGGGACTACAGGCGTGTGCCACCATGCCCAGCTAATTTTTGTATTTTTAGTAGAGACGGGGTTTCACCTTGTTGACCAGGATGGTCTCGATCTCTTGACCTCGTGATCCACTCACCTCGGCCTCCCAAAGTGCTGGGATTACAGGCGTGAGCCACCGCGCCTGGCCAGATGCTGTGTAGTTCTTACCTGACTATCACTCTGGCACTAGGAGCCCGACTTTGTGTTTCCCTGGGTATCCCAGGGAAAACCCAGCCTGGGGTAGCCCCTGGTTCTTCTCATGGAAGGTGCAAATTCAACACACCATGGCAATAGGAAACAAGTTCAGATTTTACTTACAGATTCTAGGCAGGGAGAGTGCCATGAGTCAGGAGGGCAGTTCTCTGTCCCCAGGTCAGATGAGGCAGAAATGAAGAGTCAGACAGAGAGTGTGGGGCAGCTAGCAGTACATATAGTAACTAAGATGTAGTCACCTAACGTTAATGGCCAAAGATGGTCCATTTAAAGGAAGCAGCAGGAAAGTGAGCAGCCCAGTCTGCTGGTGGGAGAGAACCTTTAAGTTCTTACCTCTGGCCACTTGGCTTTAGCCATTTGGGTGTGGTGTATAACTGGAAACCATGCCCAGGGTGACTGAGCCCTGCCTCTGATATGCGAGTGTTAGACTTGTATTCAACATGGATGCCAAGGCAACATAAATGTATGAGGATCCACTACACTACTCTACCAAGATGAGGGTATAAACCAAGAAACAGGAAGGTGTGGGAATGGAGAAACACAAGAGCAAGGCAAAGGGATTCCCCAGGATGATAGTGAGGGGGAATCCCAGGACAGCAACTGTGTGGCCAGCAGAGGGGGCACCTGACTCAGACCACAGTAGTCACAAGGCTGTAGGGCAGATTCCTTGGAGGAGATGAAACTGATAGACTGCTTGGTATGTCTACAACACATTAAGGGGAATTTAGGAACTGGTGGAAAGTTTGGGGTTGAATGTGTGGCAAGTATACAGAAAACAAAGCAAACTCTAGGGAAAACAGAAAGTAATTCAAGAAAAGAAATCCAAGTTCAGCCTGAGCAACATAGTTGAGATCCCCAACTCTACAAACTTTTTTTTTGTTTGTTTTAGTTTTAAGGAGCAAGGAGTTTAACAGGCAAGAAAGAAGGGGGGAAAAACCACAAGAAGCTCCCCCATACAAAGACAGAAGGAGAGGGGTTCCAAAGCCAAGAGACAGACCCCCTACTTTTTTTTTTTTTTAACTAGCTGGGCGTGGTGGTGTATATCTGTGGTCCCAGCTCCTAGGGAGGCTGAGGTGGGAGGATTGCTTGGGCTTGGGAGGTCAAGGCTGCAGTGAGCTGTGATTGTGCCACTGCACTCCAATCCCTGTCTTAAAAAAAAAAAAAAAAAAAAGGAATCAAAATTGACAAAATGGCTCAGGGGATAGAAGAACAAGGGCACATGTATGGAGAGGGGCCAGGAGGCAGGAAAGGGCTAATAACACTGACATCTTCCATGGGTGGGGGGTGGGGGGAGGGGGAGTCAACAGGTGATGCAAAACTAAAACATTAGGAAGTAGCAACACGAATAAAGATAAATTCCAAAGGAACTAGCTCAGTGTTGACTCTGGGGATAACAGCTATTTTTTGGTAACAGACCTTGTAGACCCATCTGACTCTCAACCATGAGCATGTATAGCTCTGATAAAAATAAAAAGCACAAAGGTACACGGCACCAGGAATGTTTAGATGGGGGGCTGGCTCTGGGCTGAGATCTGAAGGTGAAGAATGGTTGGGAGGGCACAGGCCACCAGCTGGAGGGAATTACAAAAGCCAGGGTGAGCTGCCAGGGGCTTGGACCAGGCAGTGATAGAGATGGGGAGGAGTGAATGGATTCAGAACCATGTGGCAGAACTGATGGGACCCAGACCACAGCCTGGCACATGACAGCAGGGAGGCTGGGGTTCCTGGTGATGTGGGCAGAGAACCTTTCTATGCATGAGAAAACAAAGGAGATTCTTTAAAAGTCAGGCAGCAGACACTCTTGGCAACATGGAGAGAATACAAAATTTTTTGAAGTCAGTAGAGAAAAAGCACCATAAAAAACGACTCACTCCACGCTTCCTGGAAACAGATGATGTTGACTCCACACATTGCAGCCACCTCTACGATAGACTTTATGCGTTTATGAAGGGCAGAGACCTGAGGAGTTAAAAAGGATTAGAATCCATTTAGTTCAACTGGTAAGGCAATTTTTAGGATCTCATCCTAATGCAAATGGAACAATCAATGCCTACCTGGGCAGGTACGGGGAGTAGGGTGGGGAAGTTCTATATTTGGTTTCTTCCTTATGTCCAAAATCTGCATGAAAAGGTGGAGGTGTGGAGGCTCTGGGCTGACACTTGGACACTGCCTCAGTTTCCTCACCCGATAATGGGGAGACTGCCACCTGACCTGTGCGGTTGCTGAGAGACAGGGATGAGGATGGTGCTGCTTACTGTACCCAGGGCCCACGCTCACACCCATCTCCTGGGTCGGCTGCTCCCTCGGCCCAGGATTCCGCTCTCCACTGTCCTGCACTTCTACTTCTCCTGTGTGCATCTTATCATGGAAGGCCTCACCACTCTGGCTCTTTTAAATCCCCATGCTTTGGTGTGTGCTGTGCCCTGGGCCAGGAATGTACTTCCCTCCTCCCACCTAATCTTCCTGGAGGTGTTATCTGTGTCACCTGTCACCCCTCTGTGGGTCTCTACAGGCTCTCACAGCTATGGGCCAAGGGTCGAGGTAACTCAGCACCCCCTGGCCTTTGGGAGCCATTGTGTGTCACTCTTCTGCTGTCACTCCCAGGACCCCACAGGCTCCTTGGGGATAGGAAGAAAGCATCCTCATCGTCTGCTTGTCCTTGGCACAATGCCTGGCTCCCAGGAGACATTCAAGTGTTTGTTCAAAGTCAGACCAAGGGAACCTGGCTGAAAACCCAGAGTGCACAAACTCTTTACAATGCCTATGGTCCCCTCCTCTGAGAGGCTGTGCATCCCACGGCTTTGTGGATATTTGCTGACAGCATCAGCCCCACGAACACACATTTGCTTGGTGGTAGCAAAATGCAAGCATACGTCTAGGCGCTGTGGGGGTGAAAAAGACATAGCTGGTCCTATGACCTGACAGTCTGGATGATAGAGGGGACATAACCACAAATAATGAATCCAGATACAAAAAGTGAGAGAACTGAGAACCAGACATCTGTGAATCCAACAAAAGCAAAGGAAGGACCAATGTGAATGACGATGCAGAACCCAACCTGGAATCCAAGAGACCTTAGGTTTCTCCAGAATCCCTAAGAATCCTCAAACACGCTGTATCCTGAGGAAACCTGTGCAGGGAAATCCCTGAAAGTTTGAGCAGCTGGGGGGATGCTATGGAGAAGTGTACAAAGCAAACCGCCTGTGTCTGTGACAACATGTTTCTTTAGGGAGATACAAGATGCCGTCACCTTTATTTACTAAGTGTGAGGTCATAAGTGAATGCCTATCTGTTCCCGTAAGTCTGCAGGCACCACAGCTGGCAGAATTCTGGGTATAGCGAGTCCCTGCCCTGAGGATTAAAGCCAAAGAACACACAGATGGACGGTCTCAACCGGTATGTGCTGGCTGGCCGCCTCCTGGCAGGTGACCGAGGAGCAGCATCCCGTGGAGAGCACAAAACAGGCCAAAAGGGCACCCTCCTGGTTGTTAAATGGAGCTTCAGATCAATAGCTGGGGAGAAGTAGAAAGATCAGTGAGGAGGAGGGAGAGAGAGGGAGAGAGAAAGAGAGAGAGAGAGAGAGAGAGAGAGAGAGAGAGAGAGAGAGAGAGAGAGAGAGAGAGAATCGGAAGACAGAAGAGCCAGAGATGCAGGCCGCAGGGACGTGGGGAGGTCAGGGTAGGAGTGTATCTGCTACTGCTTGAGGCACCCAAACCTGCAGACCTGGAGTATGTGGCCAGCCAGGGCCTGGGGTGTGTTCCAAAGAGAAGGCCACAGCCCCGTTTGTATATTTATTATGGTCAAAAGAGTCTGCACCTGTTCTTTCACAGGGGCATCTGTGGGGAGGGGGGTTCTGTTCTGAACCAGCCCCACATGCACAATGCGGGGTTGTCTCAGCTGCTCTTCCGCCGCTTCAAAGGCATATCCCTGCAGTTCAAAGTCTTCTTTGGAGGCACCTTCGAAAGCTTCCCTGGGCAGATCAAGCTTCCTAGATGGGCAGGAAAGAAGAGGGAAGGTGATTCTGAGGCGGTCTGCTCTATTAAAATCCCTCTCCCATTTCCTGCAGTTATTTATCAGGGAAAGAAAAGATGAGGATGTCCTGGCTAGAAGGCACTCAGTGCCAAGGCCCAACAGAGCTGGGGAGCAGGGGGTCCAGCCATGACCAGACACTACACTGAACCTGGACTTTACCTGCAGTTGGCAGGGAGACCCAGTTAGGCCTGGCAAAGGGGAGGCCTTGTCAAGAGGCTGGTGTTTTAGAGTTGCTGAAATCAGGGTAGGAATTAAATTCCTGGCAGTCAGCACAGAAAGGAGGGAATAGATTCTCAAGTGTTTCTGAACCAGAATCAGGGCTGTGCTGAGGCTAGGGTGTGGGGCAGTCTGTGGGAGCAGAGAGGGGCTTGGAAAATGAGGCTCAGGAGAAAGGCTGGATGGAGAGACCATGACCTGGGACCATATGGAGGCCTTGTGGTGAATAAAGACCCTGGCCATTCTGTCCTGCTGCTTCTGCTGGGGGAGGCCAGTTCCATACCTGGTGTTGGGTGGGCTTGGCGGGGCCCAGGTGTTCAGATGGAAGCCCTAAGTGCTCATCCACCTTTGTGGTTTATTAAAAAAAGCTAGAGAATTAGTTATAAAACCTTTCATTGACATGACCATTGGCCAAACAGCAAATACCTCCTGATGACTGTTGCACGCCCGGAGGTGAAACCCGCAGAGGCATGGGACACGGCCCCTGGCCAGGAAGGGCTTACCATCTAAGGGCAAGATGATTATGAAATACCCAGAGAACACATCAAAAAATAACCTGACAGCCATTATCTAATAATAATATTTCTCTCCTACTTTAAATCACTTTCTTAGAGATGTTTCTTTCAAAATCACAGCCCTGTCAGCCCAAGCCCCCTGTCACCGCCCCCTGCCAGGCACTTTTCATGTGATGGCCCTGACAGCTCTGAGTTCGGTTCCGCCCCTGACAATCAGCCTGCTTTTCAAGTAGTCAAGGTTCCCGTCACTCCGGCAGGTTAGAAATAGCAGCAGTGCCCACACCGTGCCTCCCCTTGCTGTGACTGCCTTAGACAGTCCTCCCACCCTCCAGCGGAAGGGCTGCTCTCACAGGGCAGGGCTCAGCCTCAGGGCAAATTCCCTCTGGTGGACATGATCAGGCAGCTTTCCAGCATGTGTGTGTGGCCAGACGCAAGGAGAAAAAGGAGCAGGGCTTATGTATCTATTCCCTCAAAGGCCTGTGGGCCTGGAAGCCAGACAGCCCTTTGAGAGTGTCCTGGTGAACCCTGCCTGGCCTCTCAGCCTGTGGTCTCACACCAGGAAGTTGTCAGGTGAAGAAGTCATCTTGGGTGTGGAAACACAGCTGTAGCCATCACTTGGCTGAAGTATCTCTCCCCATCTTTCCACCATGCATGACCTCCTTTACCCATCTCCTTCCCTCCAGTGGTGTCTGCATCTGGCCAGCCCTGAGGCTGCCCACCTCCTCAGCCCCAGCTCCTTGCAAGCTCATTCTTCTAAACCAAGACAATAGAGGAGAGGCCGCTCTGCCCTCCAGGACAGCTGCCTTTGGGGCTCTACCTCTTCCCAGCCACTCCTCTCTACTATTTGGGCACCACCCGTAAGGCCTCTCTGCGCTCCCACATCCTACACAGCTTCATCTTGGAGGACCTAACCGACGCAGTCAATGACCATGTGCTGTGTGCACCAAAGGCATGGTATGGGAAATGCAGCGGACCACTGAGATGGACTGAATGCGTACGTCTGCCCCAAATTTATATGTTGAAATCCTAACCTCGGATGTGACAGGGCTTTTTGGGGAGGTGATTAGGTCAAGAGGGTAGAGTCCTCATGAATGGGATTAGTGCTCTTTTACAAGACCCCCCAAGAGAGCTTGCTTGCTTCTTGCACCACGTAAGGACACAGTGAGAAGGCACTATCTACAAACCAAGAAGTGGGCCCTCACCAGATACCAGATCTGCTGCGGCACCTTGATCTTGGACTACACAGCCTCCAGAACTGTGAGGAATAAATTTATGTGGTTTAAGACGGGGAGGGAGACCATAGCCAGGTGTTGGTTACAGCCAGGTTTGCACACTCAGGCAAGAGCTCTTCTTCCTGACATCTTTCTGGTATGAGACTGAAGGCTGAGGACAGGGCTCACTAGGACATTCCCAAAGGGCCATTCAGCTACCAGGCCCACAGGCCTTTGGGGAAACAGACAGAGAGCCTTCTCCTTTTTCTCCCTGTGACGGCCCACAAGTACTAGGAAGTCTGTGATATTTTGTTACAGCAGTCCAAAAGGACTAAGACAAGCATTAATCAGCCACTGTCCAGCAGGACAAGACCAGCAAATGAGCCATAACCTCACAGGTGTCCTCACGCCACTACTGCCTGCCCTGGTCCCTGTGGTTGGCTTTCAGATCTTCTACCCTTCACCCTGCTACGGAGGCCTCCCTGTTCAGGGCTTCCCTTCAGACTTCAAGGAGTAAAGCCTGTCACTTCTCATCCTAGCCCCACCATGCCCTTCAGGGCCCCCACCTCTCCCACCTATGGTCAAGGCAGGCCTTGCCAGAGGACACCAACTTCCTGCTTCCTCAGCAACCTCTCACTTCTGGAACTTCGTTTTCCCACCTCTGATGGCTCTTTACCATCAGCACTTTAAATAATTAAAGGAGCTCTGTTACAAAAGAGATATGTGCTCATGGCAGGGGTGAACTAAAGAGTGGGAAAGGTATAAAATGAAAAATAAGTTTCCCTCTCTACCCGACCCAGTTCCAAAACTCACAGGCAACCGCTCTTAGTGTTTTATGCCTCTTTTCTATTTTCCTACGTGGATGCGTTACAAATTCAATGCCATCATTCTGTATTTTCTGTTCTTCAATTTGCCTTTTTCACTTCATACACCTAACTTAGACATCTTTCCCCACTAGTACCTACAGATCTCCACATTCATCACTGAAGCTGTTAAGTCTCTCCCAGGCCAGGCGCGGTGGCTCACGCCTGTAATCCCAGCACTTTGGGAGGCCGAGGCGGGTGGATCACGAGGTCAAGAGATCGAGACCATCCTGGTCAACATGGTGAAACCCCATCTCTACTAAAAATACAAACAATTAGCTGGGCATGGTGGCACGTGCCTATAGTCCCAGCTACTCAGGAGGCTGAGGCAGGAGAATTGCCTGAACCCAGGAGGCGGAGTTAGCGGTGAGCTGAGAATGCGCCATTGCACTCCAGTCTGAGTAACAAGAGCAAAACTCCTTCTCCCAAAAAAAAAAAAAAAAAAAGAGTCTCTCCCATTGAGAAACAGAAGGGGACAGGGGAGGGAGGGAAGGAGAGGAAGAAAGAAAAAGAGGGACAGTGCTCCACACATGTCCACATGTTTGCTCACTTGTTCTCTCTCCCTGCTGCCTAGGGAGCTTCCACACACGCTTTCCTTCGGCTCAGGCCTCATCTCCTGGCTCCATCTCAGGAACTGCCACCAGCCTTATCATAGCTAAAACCAGCAGACTTCCTGATGTCCTCAACGGGTAGACATTTCTGCGCCATCTGACGCTTTTTTCCCTGTCCTGCCCCAGAGTCCTCACTTCCAGAATCTCCCACAGTCTCTTTCTCTGACCTCTTTAATATCCAGGCTTTCTAGCATTCTCTCCAGGGCCGCTCTCTTTGTACCTGCTCCTCCCCCACCTGGAATGACCATCTCCAGCACAGCTCAACAAGCCCAGCCTCTCCCACCTGAGGCCCACCTCCACACAGCAAATAGCCAGCCACTGGGTTATTTCCACCTGCGGACCCTGAAGCTACTGTAGCAGGTAGAACTGTGCCCTCATCCTGACACCTGGAACCTCTCATTGTGATTTTATTTGGAAAAAGGGTCTTCACAGATGTAATTAAGGTCAGGATCTCAAGATAAGAACAACCTGGATTATCCAAGTAAGCCCCAAATCCAAAGATGTATGCGGATAGGGCCTCGCTCTGACCCCAGGCTGGAGTGCAGAAGTGGTATCTTGGCTCACTGCAGCCTCAATCTCCCAGGCTCAAGTGATCCTCCCACCTCAGCCTGCTGTGTAGCTAGGACTACAGATGCATGACAATGCCTGGGTAATTTTTTAAATGTTTTATAAAGATGGGGTCTCGCTGTGTTGCCCAGGCCAGTCTTGTACTCCTGGGTTCAAGCAATCCTCTAGCCCTAGCCTCCCAAAGTGCTAAGATTACAGGTGTGAGCCACTGCACCCTGATCAAAGACAAATAGGAGACACTACAGGAGAGACACAGGGACAAGAGGAGAAGGCCATGTGAAGAAAGAGGCAGAAACTGGCTGTCACAAGCTAAGGAAAGCCAGGAGCCACCCGAGGCTAGAAAAGACAAGGGAGGATTCTCCCTTAGGATGTTTGCGGGTAGCATGGCCCTGCTGACACCTTGATCTAGTACTTATGGTCTTCAGAACTGTGAGAATAAGTTTCTGTTGTTTCAATTGCTACAGCAGCCCTAGGAACTAAACAGCACTCAAATGCAACCTGTCCAAAGATACTGCTCATCCGAGAGCCCAAGCCAGAAGCCGGCAAGAGCCTCACTGCCTCGCTGTGCACTGACCTCCCAAGACCTTTGGAAGGAAGCCTTGTCTCTCCAGCCCCAGGCACTCTGTTCACGTCAGGACTCTCACCTTTCACCTGCCTTTTTCCAGGCTAGTCTTTTTTCCTTTCCCTGTTTTTAAGATTTTGGCTCATCCAGTAGTTATTCCAGGTCATTCTTCACTCAACCACCAGGTCAAACTCTTCAAAGTCTCCACCATTATCAGGACACAGTTCTGCTGCCTCAGAGCCCTAAAGAAAGATCTACCTGCCACTCCTGTCTCCTCTCTCAGGTCTTCCTCGGGGAGCACTCAATGACTAACCCTCTCACATACACAGTCCTAAATGGGCATGTCCCTGGTGTCTGGAGACAGGTACCCTTCCTGCCTTCTCCAGGATGTAGCTCAAGCATAGTCCCCCTAGAAAGCCTTCTTGATGTCCCCACAACCCCAAATACACAAATTCTCTCAAGCTCTCCCTGTCTCTTCCACTCACAGCGTAAGGCAACCATCAAAAGATGGAAAGTCCCCAAGGGCAGGAACCATGACTTACTCATCCTGGTATCTCCAGTGCCAGTGGCCGAGACTAAAATAAGTGCTCAATGAATGTATGTTGACTGAATGACCGCTTCTTGGTTCTGGCTGTCTTAAAATGGAAAATCAATGTTCTCTGGGGATTGCATCTGCCTGCCACAGGCAAAGGCCCGTTTGGCTCATTCACTGAGCAAACATTTACTAAGCACTGTAACTGGGAGAGGAGGTGGTCTTGTGTGGAGCACACTGGGAGTCAGATGAGAGAGGCTGAGGACTTCAGGTCCACTGGACCTTCACAGAGGCAGCCATATCCAAGTCAGACTCTGAGGAGTTTATAGGAATTTAAGTGGAATTGGAGTATTTAAATGAGCAGTAATTTTTCTATCTTCAGTTCAAAAGGCTGTTTATTGCCAAATCCCACACACTTGCAAGGACAGAGCAAGTACAAAGGCTTATACCTTAGGGATAAAAGGTGAAAGGGCTAGGCTGCGCTGGTCACGGTGGCTCACACCTGTAATCATAGCACTTTGTGAGGCCAAGGCAGGTGGATCACAAGGTCAGGAGTTTGAGACCAGCCTGGCCAATATTGTGAAACCCTGTCTCTACTAAAAATACAAAAATTAGCCAGGTGTGATGGCTGGTGCCTGTAATCTCAGCTACTTGGGAGGCTGAGGCAGGAGAATAGCTTGAACCTGGGAGGCAGAGGTTGCAGTGAGCCGAGATCATGCCACTGCACACCAGCCTGGGCAACAGAGCAAGACTACACCTCAAAAAAAAAAAAAAAAGCTGAAAGGGCTAAATGCTGAGTAGAACAGAGCAAGAAAACGGGATAGGAAAAGAGGAAAAGGAGCCACGTAGTTATTGTGAGCCCTAGGATAAAGCCTGGCATCACTGGTCGAGAGGTTGTCTCCCATTTCACCAGCCATTATCATCATCCCTCCCACTCTGGAGTGACCCAAATGCTCAGATAAAATCCCTCTTGAGGTCAGGGAGTCCTTGGCCTGACCTCAGCCCTTCTCCAGAATGTGCCCCAGCCAAACACTTCTGTAGGAAATTGACTTCTCTTTTCCTAAGACTATTCTCCTTCACCTCTTTCCTGGCACCCAGGCGCTGTCTTTTTCCCAGGAACACATGCCCACCCCACTCTTGGAATGAACTAATTCCCATCCCTAGAAGCATGAGACACCCCTCGCTTTATTTAAGACATCTAGGAGTCTCAGCTCTAAGACACTTCTCAAGAACTAGTCTTTACAGGTGGAGTGGAAATAGGAGCATGAGTGCATTCACTGGGAGGGGCCTTAAAGTTCACCCAGCCCTTAGAACACGAAGAGCCCTTCCGGATAAAGTTCCCTACTACTTCACCCCAGAAGCAGCTGTTCTAACTTCATCATCCACTAGCTGTGAAAACACCCTTGGATCTGAAGTCTAGCCTCCCTGTAGTAACTCCACAGCAGCTGTGGCTGGGAACCACTGATCCAATCAACACCTTCAGTTACAGGTGAACTGTTCTGGTTCCTGCCGCAGGGTCATGGTGCCCGGCAGACTGGCTGGACTGGGGGAGACAGGGAGCCCACAAATGAGGAAGTTGAATGAGAGTTAGGGGCTGCTTGCCGTCAGAGTTTGGATTTCATTCTAAGAGCCTAGGCAATTCTGTACAGGATTTTAAGCTCAAAGGAGCAACAGCATATGATTTACATATCAAAGAGATCCTCTGGTTGCTGCTGGTAAGAAATGCACTGAAGAGAAACTAGAGAGAAGGGCAAGTGTCTTTTTTCAGCTTTGTGGACACAGTGTCCAGCAGTACACAAGCCCTCAGAAGGTCCTGGTGAGGCACACAACTTGCAGGGAGTGAAAAAACATTTGCACGTGGTAACTAACGCCCATGGCTTAACAGTGGGAAAGGTTCCCTTGCCAACTAAATGCAGACAGCCTCTATTTCCAAGGGTCAGCCAGAGAGGTCAGGTCACTGCAGGAAAGATGGTCTGGGGCTGGACAATCAGTACACCTGCTTGAGGGCTCTAGCTGGAGGCAGTGATCCGGCCAGACACCCACAAAGTAAGTCCGGCTTCAGGGAGGAGGGTTGGGATGGCCACAGAGAAAGCCCTGGAGAGTAAAATCCCGTCCTTTTCCTTCCAGTTCTGGGCAACTTGGGGGAGAAAAGATTTACAAAGGTCACCCCAGGATTCTGCAACCCCCAAGGACCCTGGAGCTGTCACATCAAGATGTACTATGGTCTCTGCCTGCCAACTTAGGACTTCTCACCACCTCCTCAGAGCCCTTCAGACCCTGAACCCCTCCCTGCCTGCTTCCCGAGACCCACAAGTTAGCCTCTGGGCTGCGGACCTTAGCTCCTTGCCATAGAGAACGCGCTTCACCTCCTGTAAGTCTAGGAGCGGCAGGTGCTTCTCCAAGGATTCCTCCAGCGACGTCCACTCGGCGCCCGCCATGGCCACACTCAGCCAGGGCCGGTGTCCGTGCACGAACTGCCTGCCCTTTGCACCCAGTGGGAGGAGGTGGCCAGGCCAGGACCGTGCAGACGCCCTGGCCTCTATCTCCTACTTCCGCTCCCGGACAGCTCACGTGGGGACACGCCCCTTCCTGGAGTAGCCAATCTGCCCTCCAGGGCTTCGCGAGTGGGCCCGCCCCTGGACCTTAGCGCTCCTTCAGCACGTGCTAGAACACGTGCTCTCCTGGCCTCCCCAGGACACGACCAATCAGCGCTCCAGGACCTAGCGTGAGGAGGGGGAGGAGGAATCTGCCCCTTGCCCTTTGCCCCTTGACCTTCGCCCCTCCTCTGGCACGCGATGAGACACGCGCCTCCACAGGTGGGAGTGCGCGGAGCCCTAGTGCCTCGTTTGCGAGTCCGGGTGGAGGCTGCTCCGTCCCGCATCCTTCGTGGGCCCTCGCGAGGGTGCCTCCAGGTCCCACCCGTCACCTGCCCCTGGTGTCGGGGCGGGACCCTGGAGAGGCTGTGAGAGAGGCCTGGCGCGGCCTCCTGGAGGCCGCGGCACGGGTCTGTGGCAAGTCGGCGTCCTGCTGCGGACCTTCGCGGGGGCGGGGCCGTTCCCGACCACGACCTCCAGTCTGCGGCTTAGAGCAGCCGGCCGGGCCAGCCCCCAGCACAGGACTGCGGACGAAGGTACGAGTTTCAGTGTCCTGGGCACGCGGCGGCGGCACCGCTGTAGTGTGGACCCTTATGTCTGGGGAGGGTTAGCCTCGGAGGGGCAAGGGTCAGAGTCCAGGCAGCCACCTGGGCCGCGCGTTCCCACCCCCGGTTTTGGAGCCGCTTTGTGGCCGAAGGTCAGCTGTTCGCCTGCCGTCCGGTGCGCCTCCATGGAGCTAATGCTGTAAAATGCGGGGTCCCCGGGCGAGGACACGCCCCATGCCCCCTTTCAGCTCTGACCTCTGCGGCGTGTGTGCAAATATGGGCACTCTCCTGGGGTATGGTGCGCTTTAGACAGTCACTGAGATGGTAGGAGTGAGAGACCCGTTTGCTGTTCCCGCTAATCCAAAGGGTGCCGTTCTTTCAGGAGCAAAGAAGCATCCTCTTTGGGGGACCTACTGAGAATTAAGGCAGTTTAAGTCCCGCTTACCTGAGGCCGGCAGCAGGCTGAAAGAATCGGTCTGTAGAAATCCTGTTTAGCCACTTGCAAACCTTGTGACCCCGGGAAAGTCATTGGAGGCTTCTGTTGCTATCTGTAAAATAGGAATCCAAAGATTACGCTGCAGGGTTGTTTAAAAGTCACAAAAGGCCAGCACAATGGCTCACGCCTGTAATTCTAGCACTTTAGGTGGCCAAGGAAAGAGAGTTGTTTGAGGCCAGGAGCTCCAGACCAGCCTGGGTGACACAGCAAGACTCTATCTACAAATAATTTTTTAAAGATTAGCCAATCATGGTGGTATGCAGGTGCTTCTTGGGAAGCTCAGGTGAGAGGATCACAAGCTCAGGAGTTTGAGGCTCCCTAGCTATGATCTTACCACTGAGCTTCACCCTGAGCAACTGAGTGAGATCCAGTCTCAAAGGAAAAAAGAAAAAAGGCAAGTAAGATAAGTGCAAAGGAAGCTAATTTATATCCAGAATCAGCTACTAACATTAAAAATAGGTGCTATAGGGCCAAATATTATACTGCAGGTATTTTGTTTAGGCTACTAATTCACTAGCTTTGTTTCTTGTTTTGATAAATTTTAGCTGACAGTTTCTAGTATCCGATGGAGCTGCCTTTTCAAGAATGCAAACTTCGAGTACTTTCTATGTGTAAGGCACTGCCAGGAGAGCCATATGAAGACAAGTAAGACCTAGTACCTTTTCTCTGATTTAAAGTAGAGGCAGACTTGTAAATACAGCAGATTTAAGTAATTCGAGATGAAAAAGAAACAATATACTATGGAGTGCAAAGAAAGGTGATTTCTGGCGTAGAGAAATCGTTGGAGGTCTCATGGAAGAGGCTTCAAAGCCAACTCAAAATGCTTCAAACTGAATGAACTGTCACCTCCTTTCTCAAGGAGGGCTCTTACCTTCTTCTTCTTCTTCTTTTTTTTTTTTTTTTTTGAGACAGAGTTTTGCTTTTGTTGCCCAGGCTGGAGTGCAGTGGCCCAATCTCAGCTCACTGCAACCTCCACCTCCCAGGTTCAAGCGATTCTGCTGATTCTCCTGCCTCGGCCTCCCGTAGCTGGGATAACAGGCATGTGCTACCACACCTGGCTAATTTTTTGTATTTTTAGTAGACACAGGGTTTCACCATGTTGGTCAGGCTGGTCTCGAACTCCTGACCTCAGGTGATCTGCCCTCCTTGGCCTCCCAAAGTGCTGAGATTACAGGCATGAGCCACTGTGCCCAGCCTCTTATCTTCTGCACTGTATTTGCTATTTCAGTAATGGCCTCACCATCCACCGATTTGCCAAGTTTTTGAGAGTCATCTGCAACTCCTCCATCTTTTTTTCCCCCATACAATCAGGCATCAAGTTCTGCTAAATTTATCTCCTGGATATTGTTCATATCCTTACTCCTCCCTCTTCACGTCTGCCTCCTGTCATCTTTTGCTTGAATTGTTGCTTGTTCTAACTTCTCTCCCCACCTCCAATGTCTATCCTTAGTTGTCTTTCTAAACTAGTATCTTACCGTCTTTTGTACCCTCTCATTCACTGTATCTTTACCTGGGATCACCTTTCATCCTTCACTTTGTGACCTCTTTCTCATCCTCCACCTTACAGTTGAAACATCACCTCTTCTGTAAAAACTTCTCCAATTGCCCCAGAAAAAGCTAGGCTCCACCAGTCCTTCAAAGATAGTTCTCTTATTACATTTATTAAACACTATTGTGTAATTATTTCTGAGCTCTCCTCAGAAAATGGACCGAATCTACTTTTGTATCCAAAGGACTTCAGCACTCAATAAATGATTGTTGAGGGAATCAGCTCTGGGATCATGGACAAATTCATTAAGGTGACAACACTGAGCTGTACCTCGAAGCAGTAGTAGGAACTATTATTACTAGTTAAATTGCTGATTTCATAGTTCCCTGATGTTCAGTGACAGGTCATTCATACTTGCTCGTTATAAACCAGTGTTTCATAAATAAAACTTAAGATTTACAAAGTTGTTTTAAAAAAAAGTTTATACTTGCCCAATTTATTTTTTACTCTGAATGATACCGGGACACTTCACTAGCTCTTTCTGTGGTAATCATTTTGTTTTTTGCTTTTTTATTTTATTTTTTTGAAATAGAGTCTCCCTCTGTCACCCAGGCTGGAATACAGTGGAGCAGTCTTGGCTCCCTGCAACCTCCACCTCCCTGATTCAAGCGATTCTTGTGCCTCAGCCTCCAGAGTAGCTGGTATCATAGGCATGAGCCATCATGCCCAGCTAATTTTTGTATTTTTAGTAGATACAGGGTTTCATCATGTTGGCCAGGCTGGTCTTGAACCCTTGGCCTTAAGTGATTCATCTGTCTTGGCCTCTCAAGGTGCAGGGATTACAGGGGTGAGCCACCATGCCCGGCTCTGTGGCAATCATTTAAAAAGACTTAAGACTGCCCTAGTTTCTTTCTGAAATATCCTGCCAGCCCAAAAGGTGATAACTGCATGCAACCATACTAGAGTGAGGGATTCTTCCTTGTTTTGAAGAACAACTCTTTCTCTGGCAACGTGGTGTGGTTTAAGGATGTGTAACCCATGATTTGCTAAGTGTATACAAACATGGGCAGGAAGGACAGAATACACATAACCTCCACATGATGGATACCTCTGGAGAGGGAGATAGGGGAATGGGATAGAAGAATGGGAATTATGTTGATAGATAATATTTTAATTATTTTTAAGGGATCTGAGGCGGCCAGGCACGGTGGCTCACGCCTATAGTCCCAGCTACTCAGGAGGCTGAGGCAGAAGAATTGCTTGAACCCAGGAGGCGGAGGTTGCAGTGAGCTGAGATTGCGCCATTGCACTCCAGCCTGGGTAACAAGAGCGAAACTCCATCTCAAAAAAAAAAAAAAAGACTAATTCTCATAGATTCTATGATTTTATGATTATTGGAGTATGAGATCCTTTTTAAAATCTGGATGGCCAAAAAAAAAAAAAAAAAAAGAAAAAGAAAAAACAATAAATAAATAAATAAAATCAGGATGGCAAGGGCAAGCAGAGCAGATGTTGCATGACCCTTAGGGGTGAACACCTTAGATATTAGTGCCTTGATCACATGGCCTGGGTCTCATTTGTGTTGGAATACGTTGGTACAGTAAAGACTGAACTGGACTAGAAATGAGGATAGTGATACCTTCCCCACTTTCTTGCAGGAGTGGAATATGCTGAGTTGAATTATCTTTGAAAATCTATACAGCATTATCTCTGTAAGATGCTATTTTTAATCAAGGAGAAGGTGTTTAGATATAATTCTTCCACGGCACATTATAAATATACCATCCTTAAGGTACTGGATACTCATCTTTGCGTTATTTTTTCAGTGGTGATAATGGCTTTGCATGGAATCATTTATAGTCTTTCTACCAGTTCTTCTCGAGATAAATAGCATACATTTTTGAAAGATGGGTAATTTTGAGAAGGCTGCAGTCTGAGTCCAGGAAACAAAGCAAAGCTGACTAGCCTAAGCTGAACTCTAGTCCATGACTCATCACTAGTTTTGTCTAATCATTTAGGATAGCAAACCAAGCACAGGCTTATGTATGACAGGAATACAAAATCCCAGGTTGAATTTTTGGGCCTTAAGTTTCAGGAAGTATCAATGTGGTAAGTAAATGTTTCTCTTTACCTCCATCTCCCCCTATGACAATTGCAGAAGCATGCAGTGGGCCTAGTGGTTGTATGTGTGACTGGTTTAGGGGATTGAAGCTCAGTGTGAGTCAACAGTGTCTTAAGGGTATTAGTAGCTCAATATGAGTGAACAGTGTGTTGTGACTGCCAAAAAAAAGTTGATATAATCTTAGGTTGCATTATGAGAAGTATAGTGTCCAGAACACAAGGCAGATGACTGTCTCACTCTGTTCTGTGCTGAGCAGAGCACACCTGAAATTAATCTAGCTCTGGGTTAGATACACAACATATTCTTGAATATGCAGAAAAGAGATATCTAACAGCAGCAATAACAAAATGTTAAAGGCACTGGGAACCTTTATTTAGCAAAACCAGGTAAACAAACTCAGAAAGGATATTGTTACTTCATTCAGATTTCTGAAGGGGCCACATATAAGAGGTTTTTATTTGTTCCACATGTCCCTGAGGAGAGGAGCTGGAGTCAATGGATAGAAACTAAGGGGGGCATATTTCAGCCCAATACAGTTATTTTCAGTAGGTGATGTCAGAAAAAAAAAAAATAGGCAGTCTCTGCAAGTGATGAGTTTTCATTCAGAGGGTTCAGGTACGGTCCAGATGACCACTTGGTGGGAGTGTTGTAGAAGACAGTCAGTCATCAGATGGGTAGCTGAATTAGAGAGTCTGTGATTTCTGTATATTGCTGTAACATGAACCAAGAAAACCTTAGGGATGTCAAATCCAAAGAACTGTAAATAAGCCATGGAACAATACAAGATAGCTTGGTATTGATGAAGTAAAAGTCAGTAAGTGTGAGCATCTGAAGAACCAGATGATGGGAAGATTTTATTATAATTAACTTTTTTAAAAGCGTGTTTGGTTGGATTGGGTTTAAAGGAAAAAAAAACCACTTTATTGCAAGAGTATCTGGAACCTAATGGTAAGAAGAGTTCTAGTCCCAGAATCTGGGGATGAAACAACTCTCATGGTTACAAAGAGTAATTTCAAATTGCAAGTGGTTGTATCCGGGGAATAGTAAGGGGACAAAAATGGATGGGGGTTAAGAGGTCAAGTAGATCCACAGCACAGGGGCAAAACAAGTTTATAGAGAGAATTACGTATTTGTTAAGCTAGGCCAAACAGACTTATGTTCTGTACTTCACCGTCTGCAAATAGTTGGCATCTTAAAATCCTTTATACTGAAGCAAAGTAGATTGTTTACTCTGAGAAGCTCCAAGGTATACTAATGATCCACAGTGGAGGGCTTACAGTATTGTAATAACTTACCAGATTCTGTGCCCCAGCAACAAACTCACCACTGGCAAATTCAGCCCTACCTTAAGCACTAGACTAGTTCAGCCCTTAGTCCCAGAATCTGAGTCCTACTTCAGATCTCAACCTTGCTTGCTGCTAGCCCTGCCTGAATTAATGTCCCAAATCTAATAACTAGTTTGGGGCATTAAACCTTTTTATGGCTGGGCATGGTGATTCATGCCTGTAATCCCAGCACTTTGGGAAGCCAAAGTGGGAGGGTCTCTTGAGCCCAGGACTTTGAGACCAGCTTGGGCAACATAATGAGACCCTGTCCTCAAAAAAAAACAAAAAACAAAAATCTGTTGGGCCTGTAGTTCCAGCTCCCCTGGGAGTTTGAGGTGGGAGGATCACTTGAGCCCAGGAGGTAGAGGCTGCTGTGAGCCGTGTTTGTGCCACTGCATTCCAGCCTGGGTGACAGAGTAAAAACCTGTCTCAAAAAAAAGGGAAGAAAAAAACCTTTTTGTGCTTGTATCAAGTAATTGATTCTTGAATCTCTTGTTTCCTTAAACTCAAGTCTCTTTCTGATATCTCAGTGCATAGCCCTCTTTTAAAGTTAGCATTGCCAAAGACTTGAATCTGGAATCTGAATTTTGGGTCCTGCTAACTCTTTTGTAGGTTGTTTTTTGGTTTGTGTATTTGTTTGTTTTGAAATGGGTTCTCGCTATGTTACCCAGCTGGACTCAAACTCTGGGACTCAACTCTGAGAATACTCCCGCCTAGGCCTCCCGAGTAGCTGGGACTACAGGAGTGCACCAGTGTGCCTGGTATGTCATGCTACCTCTTGCCAGACTAACATAGACTACTTCCTAGACCGCCATTGTTAAATCCGAGGGTCCCAGAGCCCCACCTTTGGGCCTCTGTGAGTTTAACAGTTACAGGCTTCAGTTCTAAGAATCAGGCATCCCTTCATCATCAGAATCCTCTCTTACAGTCTCATGTTTCTCTCTGATCCAAGTGACTTGGTCTGACCACACATTCTGCACCTAGGGAGCCAAACTGATATTGGCCTGTGTTGGAGCAACACACTGAAAGCCCTTTTCCGTGCTCAGCCTCTGCAGACACTAGCCAAAAAGAGCTTCCTAAGCCGGTACTACTCATCTTGCTGGCCATGTATCTGGGAAGCCGAGCCCCACTATGTACTTTTCCTGTCCAGACTCTGGAAGAGTTAATTTTAATAGTTCATGGCAAGATGCACAGTTTGTCTTACAGGTGCCTTACAACCATTGAACATTTGTTCTCTTCATTGCTTAGGGTTTTTTATTTTGGTTTGGTTTGGTTTGGTTTTGAGACCGAGTCTCACTCTTTTTGCCCAAACTAGAGTGCAATGGCACAATCTCAGCTCACTGCAACCTCCGCCTCCCAGGTTCCAGCAATTCTCCTGCCTCAGCCTCCTGAGTAACTGGAATTACAGGTGTGTGCCACCACATCTGGTAACTTCTTATGTTTTTAGTAGAGACCTGTTTCACCGTGTTGGCCAGGCTGGACTTGAACTCCTGACCTCAAGTGATTCGCCTGCCTAGGCCTCTCAAAGTGCTGGGATTACAGGTGTGAGCCACTGCACCCAGCCCATTGCCTAGTTTTATAAACAAATATTAAATGAACCAGATGTACCAGACATTGGGGTCAAACATGAATAAGTCATATGGTACTTGTTCTCATAATTATGATAATAATGCTTTCCATTTCTTGAGCACCTGTTATGTGCCAGGTACTGTGCCGGGCCTGTAAGTGACAGCCTTTATAGGAGCTAGGAAGTGCATTGTAGGGGTAGAGGGAAGAGCTGGATAGTTTGTGTTACTTACATAAGGCTTCAAACACAGCACATGGCTAGTGCTTAATAAACAGTAGCTATGTTTACAATATTAGAGGATAACATTACCAAAAGTATCATGAAGGTCCAGAGGTGGGATAAACAATGTCTATGTTTACAATATTAGGTGATAACATTACCAAAAGTACCACGCAGGTCCAGAGGTGGGAGCACAAGTATCTGAGCCAGAGGGATGTGTGTAGGGCACAGGAGGATCAAGCAAAAAGAAGGAAAAGACCGCAAGCAGAAAAAGCCACTGGGAGAGTAGCTAATCTATCTGGAACACAAGAATAGATAAAGGGCCACAATGAGACAATGTATGTGTAGCAGATCTAGAGAGTTCTAGAGACGTGTGTGCTAATGACAGGAGTGTAGCCATAAAACCCTTTACTGTAGTCACAGGAGAAAATGATTGCATGCATTTGTGAAAACCGGAAGGATAAGACACAAGCCTGAAAATTATTCAATTAAAGGAAGGAAGATTGCAGACTGCTTAGTCACCTGAAGAGAGAGAATAGCACTTACAAAATGAGAGGAGATGATTATATCACTTAAGTGAGCATTGATCAACGTACTTGGCAGGACAAGTGGAAATGTTTTTCTTTTAAATAATTCAAGCCTGCAGGCTTCCAATTCAGTTTAAGATAGTATGAGTCTGCTATATATAAACGTGGATAGCGTTCCAGTGGTAAATGTGTAGAATTCAAAGGAGGAATAAGTAAAAACCTATTGTCTATGTTCAGCTAAAAGTGCATGAATAAAGCCCTGGTGGTAAATTCACAATAGCCTCCATTTGAACATGTATGAGGGGAAGGAAATACTATTTGCTTGTTGACCTGGATTTTAATATACTTAAACCACATTATTCTAGTATTATCAGAGAGAGTCAAGCTTGATGCTCCAAAGACATTTCTGTTTCTTTTTTTTTTTTTGAGACAGAGTTTCACTCTTGTTACCCAGGCTGGAGTGCAATGGCATGATCTCGGCTAACTGCAACCTCCGCCTCCTGGGTTCAAGCAATTATCCTGCCTCAGCCTCCCAAGTAGCTGGGACTACAGGCGTGCACCACCATGCCCAGCTAATTTTTGTATTTTTAGTAGAGACAGGGTTTCACCATGTTGACCAGGATGGTCTCTATCTCTTGACCTCGTGATCCACCCACCTCGGCCTCCCAAAGTGCTGGGATTACAGGCTTGAGCCACCGTGCCCGGCCTTCGATATTTCTGTTTTGTACATTCTGTTTCTGTCAAATAGACTTACCTTGAAATCTATGACATATTTTCATGGCTGGTTGTTCATATTTCTCTCAGTATTTTCCTGAGTTAATCAATACAGAAAGTGGCAGGGAAGCAAATCATGGTAGAAGAGTATTAAAGTTATAGGCCTATAATATAGGATTATATAGTAATTATACTGTTTAACTGATCATTTTTCCATTCATTGGGAAGTGTTCTTATTTTTGAGAAGCATCATGGTACAGTAGCAAAATCATATTTTTTTTAAGTTCTAGCTCTGCTATGTGTTAGTTACATAAGTGACTTTTTTGAACTTTCTTTTATTCTGTATCATGAGATGACAGTACTTGCTTGAATCGTTGCTTCAAGGATTACATGAAAAGCAGGTCTGGGAAATAATTAGCAATCCAATGCCCAGCTCTCAGTAGGGGCTTAGACACATTCATTCTCCACATCTCCCCTGCAGGAAAGCCTCTTGTGAAGTTGCTGAAGGAGCACAACCTCTGGAATAACCTTAGTGTTGGTTACTCAAGAAATCTGTTTGTTTTTTTTTTGAGGGTAGATTTTACTTTTGAAAAACTAGAAATTAACTCTACACTAAGTTAGTGGATGATTGGGTTAGAGATGTTTACAAATAAAGTGTGACTGTGAAATAATTGGTTTTCTTGTTGAGACTGTAGATGGACTCTGAAAGCAGCTCGAACAGAGAAGTTCCAGAAAAGTGTCAAAGCAGAAACTGCATTTTTGGAATCAGTTTTGGATAGATAAATTCTTGTATGCTTAAACTTCAGCTTTGTTACTTTATAATCGCACTTTATTTCCGTGGGAAAGGTGATGCAGACAGAATTGATGATAGAGACTAATGGAGAATGAGGAGAAAATAAAACCATAGAAAACATGTAGAGGCCATTCCACTGACACAGAGCCTAATTGAAATATTTTTAAATTCTTTCTTTAGCTACAACTCAAGTCTGGTTGCTAACAATTTTTAAAGTCTCATTTCTGAATCTATATTAAAGTATATTATATTCTCCCAGAGCAGAGCAGTTAGCCTTTAGCTTGGTATACCACAGCTTAAAATGAATGTATCTTTGTCTTTGCTGATCCTTCTTTGAGTTTCCCAGACTTAAAAACTTAAGGCTGATTCTTTGTTCTTACATTAAACCTGTTACTGTCATTCCTGTTGGTGAAATGTCTTCCATCCTGCCCCTTCTCCAGTCTTACTGCATCCACCATCATCACCTTCCTACCTGGATCTTGCCTGCATCATTGTATTTGCAAGGAAGCAGTATTAGCTAGGAAGCTGATTTCTCCTATTTCAGTGTGTTTGTCTTCTAGTAGAGCCTTTTCAGAGTAATAGCTTCAGATTAATTTTCCTAAAATAACACTCCCATCTTATGTATATATTTATTACAATACCCAACATTGATGTGTAGGTAATTGTTTATGAGATAATCATTTATGTTTCTGACTTTTTGGTTAGATTTTGAGATATTTGAAAACATGAACTATTTTATTAATCTGTGTCAGTAGTGCTTAGTACAGGGTCTTACATGTAGCCAAGTCACTTCAAACAAGGTATTTAATGGCTCTGTGCCAAAATTTCTTCATCTGTAAAATGCAGATAATAGTATCTTTCTCAAAGGATTGCTGCATTAAAACAGTATGTATATATGTGTATCAAAAAGTAGCTTTGTATTATAGCTTTTGTATATGTTCACTTTTTTTTTTTTTGAGATGAAGCTTGCTCTGTTGCCCAAGCTGGAGGGCGGTGGCATGATCTCAGCTCACTGCAACCTCCGTCTCCTGGATTCAAGCAATTCTCCTACCTCAGCCTCCTGAGTAGCTGGGATTATAGGCACCCGCCACCACACCTGGCTAATTTTTTGAACTGTTGGTGAACACACTACAGGGGAGAGAAGACTTAATCAGGATGTTAATCAAAATTACACACAAAAAATTGGTCAGGTGTGGTGGTGCACACTTGTAGTCCCAGCTACTTGAGAGGCTGAGGTGGGAGGATCATTTGAGGTCAGGAATTCAGGACCAGCCTGGCCAACATGGTGAAAACCCATCTTTACTAAAAATACAAAAAATTAGCCAGGTGTGGTGGTGGGCGCCTATAATCCCAGCTACTCAGGAGGCTGAGGTAGGAGAATTGCTTGAATCCAGGAGACGGAGGTTGCAGTGAGCTGAGATCATGCCATTGCCCTCCAGCTTGGGCAACAGAGCAAGCTTCATCCCAAAAAAAAAAAAAAAAAGTGAACATATACAAAAGCTATAATACAAACCTACGTTTTGATACACATATATACATACTGTTTTAATGCAGCAATCCTTTGATAAAGATACTATTATCCACATTTTACAGATGAAGAAATTTTGGCACAGAGCACAGGAGGTAGGTTGCAGTGAGCTGAGATTGTGCCAGTGCGTTCCAGGCTGGGCCAACAGAGTGAGACACTGCCTTGAAAAAAAAATAAAAATCAAAACTGAGTTTAAATGAAAACAGTGCAAATACAGTTTCTTGGTCCTTTTTTTTTTTTTCGTTTATTTTTGAGACGGAGTCTCACTCTGTCACTCAGGTTGGAGTACAGTGGCATGATCTTGGCTCACTGTAACCTCTGCTTCCCGGGTTCAAGTGATTCTCCTGTCTCAGTCTCCCAAGTAGCTGGGATTACAGGTGTATACTACCATGCCCGGCTAATTTTTGCTTTTTTTTTTTTTTTTGAGACGGAGTTTCGCTCTTGTTACCCAGGCTGGAGTGCAATGGTGTGATCTTGGCTCACCGCAGCCTCTGCCTCCTGGGTTCGGGCAATTCTCCTGCCTCAGCCTCCTGAGTAGCTGGGATTACAGGCACGCGCCACCACGCCCGGCTAATTTTTTGTATTTTTAGTAGAGATGGGGTTTCACTATGTTGGCCGGGCTAGTCTTGAACTCCTGATCTCAGGTAATCCACCTGCCTCAGCCTCCCAAAGTGCTGGGATTACAGGTGTGAGTCCCTGCGCCTGGCCCAGTTTCTTGCTTTTATCTTGTCTCTCTAATAAGCGTGTAAGCTCCTAGAGGACAAGGACCATCCTATATTTCTTTCATATGCCCTACTATACATGGCATAGTTCTTGGCTTTTATGCATTCACTTAATAAACATTTCTTAATGAATATTTAATGTACAATAATATGCCATGGGATATAATAATAAGACAAGGTCTTTAATAATGTTGAGGTACCTCCATTCTAATGGGAGCTTAGAGATACTAATATTTAGTATTTCATTTAGTCAGTGCTATGGAAGGCTTTATAGCAGGTGATTAATATTCTCAGATGTATTAATTACATAAATCTGGGATCTAAGCAGAGTATGAGCAGGGTGAGTGATTGGCAATAAGGGCTCCCATTCTGCAGCAGTATCTGAGGTGAGACGTGATAAAGGCCTGAACTGAAACCCTAGAAATGGAGTGAGGATGAATTCAAGAGCCTCTGTGGAAATGAAAATCAAAGGGATTGTGATGACTCCACTGTAGAATATAAAGTGTAGAAGACAAGGATGTTCAGGATCATTCTGGCCTCTTGCTTGAGCATTGGTTTAATAATATAAGCCATTTAGGAAATAAGAGCCATGAGGGAAGAAAGCCAGTTTGGAGATTAAGATGCCCCTGGGATCTCCAGAAAGAGATCCCTGTGAATAGCTAGAAATTCAGGTCTGGATCCTAAGGATTGGAATTTGGACTAGAGAGAGAAAACTGGACATTTTAGCAAACAGTGGTTGTTGAAGCCACGGTAATAGAAGAGATCAGGTTGTGGAAAAATGAGAAGTATAAAGTACCTGAGACAGAAATGCTCAGAGAAGTTAGAGGGGATGCAGGAATCAGCAGGCCCCTGTGCCAGTGTCCAGCAGTATTAATGTTGCAGTGAGACCAATTTGAAATTATGTATTCAGCATTTGGGAGGGTATTGAAAAGGTGGTCCCTGGCTCAATAAATAGTGATCAGAATGAATTGAATATGGGACAAGAAAGTGAGGAAAAACTTTTGATAAACTTGGAATGACAGGCAGGAGAGAGTTCATTGTTTGAAGATGAAATTAGGGCCTTTTTTTTTTTTTTAAGACAGGATCTTGCAGTATCACCCAGGCTGGAGTGCAGTGGTACAATCTGCACTGCAGCCTTGACCTCCTGGGCTCGAGTGATCCTCTTGCCCAAACCATCTGAGTAGCTGGGGCCACAGGTGCATGCCACCACACCTGGCTAATTTTTAAATTTTTTGTAAAGATGAGGTCTCAATACGTTGCCCAGGCCAGCCTCAAATTCCTGAGCTTAAGTAATCCTCCTTCCCTGGCCTCCCAAAGTGGTAGGGTTGTAGACATGAGCCGCTGTTCCTGGCCCGGACTTTCTAAAATGAAGCTTTCTTGAACATTTTTTTTTTCGTGAGAAGTGGGAAAAAGGCTGGAAAAGAGAGAGAAAGCAGTATCTTCTGTATTCTAGGATATGGACTAACTTCTTTACATGTTTCATGTTTAATCTTCGTCATCACCGTATAAGCAAGGGTGTCCTATCCACTGGGCACGAGGCTCAGCACTATTAACTAACTTGCCTAGAGGAATCAATAATTGTTTGACTACTAAGACCAAACTCTTTCCATTTCGTGTGGCCGTTTCCAGGCTCTTACCCATCCAGGCTCTTACCCATCTCTAATCCATCACAAAAGAAAGGGGATAATTTGTTGGTCTGGAGACAGAAGAGCATGGGAATGTTAATGTGGCTGAGGTTACCATAGACAGACTTCGTGGGAGGAATAGGGACACTGTCCCCATGATAGGAGGCAGGATATAAGGAATAACCTACACACAGGAAGGCCCAGAGATGGAAAGCCTCCCTAGAGATGGGAGCTGAGGGGGCATACTAGAGCTTTAGCTGGTCGTTTCCTAAGAGGGAGGTATAGAGGAAGATATTATGTGGAGATACTAGAAATCATAGCTGAAGGCGGTCAGGCGTGGTGGCTCACACCTGTAATTTCAGCACTTCGGGAGGCTGAGGCAGGTGGATCACGAGCTCAGGAGATTGAGACCATCCTGGCCAACGTGCGGAAATCCTGTCACTACTAAAAATATAAAAATAGCTGGGCATTGTGGTGCATGTCTGTAATCCCAGCTACTTAGGAGGCTAAGGCAGGAGAATTGCTTGAACCAGAAAATCAGAGGTTGCAGTGAGCTGAGATCATGCCACTGCACTCCAGCCTGGCAACAGAGCAAGACTCCATCAAAAAAAAAAAAAGAAAGAAATAGCTGAAGGCTGGGTACAGTGGCTCATGCCTGTAAACCCAGCACTTTGGGAGGCCGAGCCAGGTGGATCGCTTGAATCCAGGAGTTTGAGACCAGATGACCAACATAGGAAACCCCATCTGTACTAAAAATGCAAAAATACCAGGTGGGTGTGGTGGCACTTACCTCTAATCCCAGCTACTCAGGAGGCTGAAGCAAGAGAATCACTTGAACCTGGAAGGCAGGGGTTGCAGTGAGCTGAGATTGTGCCAGTGCACTCCAGCCTTTGTGACAGAGTGGACTCCGTCTCCAAAAAAAAAAAAAGGAGGCCGGGCGCGGTGGCTCACGCCTGTAATCCCAGCACTTTGGGAGGCTGAGGCGGATGGATCACGAGGTCAAGAGATCGAGACCATCCTGCTGGTCAACATCGTGAAACCCCATCTCTACTTAAAATACAAAAAATTAGCTGGGCATGGTGGCGCACGCCTGTAATCCCAGCTACTCGGGAGGCTGAGGCAGGAGAATTGCCTGAACCCAGGAGGCGGAGGTTGCGGTGAGCTGAGATCATGCCATTGCACTCCAGCCTGGGTAACAAGAGCGAAACTCCGTCTCAAAAAAAAAAAAAAGGTGACCAGGCTTGTGCTAACACCTATAATCCCAACACTTGGGGAGGCCAAGGTGGGAGGATCTCTTGAGGCTGGGAGTTTGAGACCAGCATGGGCAACATAGTGAGATTCCATGTCTTAAAAAAAAAAAAATAGGCAAAATATTGAACAGACACCTCACCAAAGAAGATATACAGATGGTAAATAAGCATATGAAAAAATGCTTAAAGTCATGCGTCATTAGGGAATTGCAAATTAAAACAATAAGATACTACTATACACCTATTAGAAAGGCTAAAATCTAAAACATTGACAACACCAAATGGTGATAAGGATGTGGAGCAATAGGAACTCCCATTCAGTGCTGGTGGGAGTCAAAACACTACAGCTACCTTGGGAGAAAGTTTGGCAGTTTTGTATAAAATTAAACATGCTTTTGCCATATGATCTAATAATTGTCCTTTTGTATTTACACAAAGGAGTTAAAGACTTAGATCTACAGAAACCTGCACAGGAGTGTTTATTTCAGCATTATTCACAGTTGCCAAAACTTGGAAGCAACCAATATGTTCTTCTGTAGATAAATGAGTAAATAAACTGTGGTATATCCATACTCTATGAATATTATTCAGTGCTAAAAAGAAACAAGCTATCAGTCCATGAAAAGACAGGAAAGAAACTTAAATGCTTATTACTAAATGAAATAATTTGAAAAGGCTGTATACTATATAATCCCAACTAGATGTAATTCTGGAAGAGGCAAAACTATAGTAAAATGATGGAGATAGTAAAATGATCACTGGGTGTCAGGGGCTTTGGGAGGAAGGGATGAATAAAGAGAGCAGATGGGATTTTTAGGGCAGTGTAACTATGCCATATGATACCATAATGATAGATACATGTCATTACACATTTGCTAAAACCCATAGAATATACACCACCAAGAGTGAACCCTAATGCAAACTTGTGGACTTTGGGTGATAAATGACATGTCAGTGTTGGTTCACTAGTTTTAACAAATGCATCACTCTGGTGCTGGATGTCGGTAGCAAGGGAGGCTGTGTCTGGAGGCAGGGAGTTTGTGAGATAAGCTCTATATGTTTCCCTCACTTTTGCTATGAACTTAAAATGCCCTTTAAAAGTCTACGTAGGCTGGGGACAGTGGCTCACGCCTGTAATCCCAGCACTTTGGGATGCCAAGGCAGGTGGATTACTTGAGCCTAGGAGTTCAAGACTACCCTGGACCACATGGTGAAACTCCATCTCTACAAAAAAAGTACAAAATTAGCTGGGCATGGTGGAGTGCACCTATAGTCTCAGCTACTCGGGAAGCTATAGTGGGAGGATCACCTGAGCCCTGGAGGTGGAAGTTGCATTGAGCCAAGATTGCACCGTGTACTTCAGCCTGGGTGACAGAGTAAGATGCCATTTCAAAAAAAAAAAAGTCTATGTAAAAAGTTGATGGGGAAGGATTGGGAAATCAGTATATTGGTAGAAAAACTATATGAAAATATTTTATGTTTATATAAAATTAAGTCCCATTCCCTAAAGAATAAGGGATAAGATATAGAAAAGCTCCAGATTCTCAAGATGATGCAGAGCACCTGAGACATTTATTTTCTATTTTATTTTATTTTTTTAGAGATGGGGTTTCACTCTGTCACCCAGGTGGGAGTGCAGTGGCATAATCATAGCTGGGACTAGAAGTATGCACCACGTGCTTGGCTATGAACCTGAAGTGTGCTGATGCAGTAGGGAGAATGTAGAACTCGGGGGTGAGGAGACCTGCCTGGAGCCCTGACTCTGTCACTAGGCAATTCCTATCATCTCACTAGGTCTGTTCTCCCAGCTGCAAAATTGATTGATGTGTGATATCGGAAATGCCTTTGAGCTTGGAATATCCATGCTGGTGTTTGGCCACAGTATAACGTAGTGGTTAGAGCACAGACTCTGGCATTAGAATGCTTAGGTTGAACCTCAGTACGTCACACCCAAGCTGTGCGACTGTGGGCAAGTTATTAGCTTCTCTGAGCCCCAGTTTCTTCATCTGTAGACTAGGGATAATAATGGTAAATATCCTGCTGGGTAGTTGTAGAGATTCAATGATAAAAAAATCTATAAAAAGTGCCTGACACACAGTAAGTAGAAGATAAATACAAGCTATTATCATTACAAAGTGTACATGCTGTTATTCTGATAATCTTTTGCTACTGCTGAGAGCACACTACTCTATACCTATATGTAGTTGCAACGAACAGGAGGTAAATGGAATTAACCGATTGGAGTTTGCCAGGTTCCCCTTTTGGGAAAGGAATGAAAGGAATCTTCAAATATCTGAGTGGTCAGGACCTCTGGGTTATGACTCAGCTACAGTCAACTGTCAGATTTTCCCACAGCTCAGTGGAAAGTCACTGAAGACTCTGTGAAAACAGTGCCATCTCTCCTTCAGTGTTTCTCTGCTAGGATGCATTGCTAACTCTGGGGGTCTGACCATATTTTTGTCCCAAAATGTCTGCAACTGTTTCTGCTGAGCTGATGATGCTACAAGCCTCAAGCCTATGAGAGTTTATTGTCAACCCCACTGTAGGACATCAAAAAAGAAAACTTTAGGGTCTGGATTGTTTTTCCAGGCAGGAACAATGATGTAGTGACTATCATAGATTATTTCAGAGTTCAGAATCTCATGTCTCAGTTCCCCTTGCTGCTCTCTACCTTCCTCTGTGGGTGAAATTAAGATTATGGATGCCACCTTGAAAGATAGTATACAGGCTGGGTGCAGTGGCTCCTGCCTGTAATCACAGGAGGGGATTAGCCACTGTACCCAGCCTGTATACTATCTTAGGAGGCTGAGATATCTCTATACTTAGGAGGCTGAGACATCTCTATACTTAGGAGGCCGAGACGGGTGGATCATGAGATTAGGAGTTCAAGACCAGCCTGGCCAAGGTGCTAAAACTCTGTCTCTACTAAAAATGCAAAAATTAGCCTGGTGTGGTGGCACACGCCTGTAATCCCAGCTCTCTGGAGGCAGAGGCAGGAGAATCGAATCTCTTAAACCCAGGCCGCAGAGGTTGTAGTGACCTGAGAACATGCCACTGCAATCTAACCTGGGCGACAGAGCAAGACTCTGTCTCAAAAAAAAAAAAAAGAGTATACATTATGCATTGGTGATAGTCACTAAGATTTTTTTTTAAAGTTTTCTTAGATTGTCCCAGCAGAAGCTCTATCTGTTAATGTAATTGTCCACAGTTTAAACAGAAGTAGAAACATCTACATAATTTGGTTATAATTCTAACATCTTTTGAAATCTTCTTAGGTCATATTCTCAAATTTGAGTTCAAGAACCCTTTTTATCAACCTGATTGAATCCTCAATCTTCCTCTTTCTAGCCTTGCAGAGAAGTCTCACAGCTAGCTCTACACCGTGATGTTCAAGTAACTAAGGGGCTAGTGATCTGGGACAAAGTGCCTTTTCTTTCTTAAGTTTCCTTTTTTTTTTTTTTTTTGAGACGGAGTTTCGCTGTTGTTATCCAGACTGGAGTACAATGGCAGGATCTCGGCTCACTGCAACCTCCGCCATCTGGGTTCAAGCAATTATCCTGCCTCAGCTTCCCAAGTAGCTGTGACTACAGGCGCCACACCACCATGCCCAGCTAATTTTTTGTATTTTTAGTAGAGACAGGGTTTCACCTTGTTGACCAGGATGGTCTTGATCTCTTGTCCTCATGATCCACCCGCCTCGGCCTCCCAAAGTGCTGGGATTATAGGCGTGAGCCACCACGCCCGGCCAAGTTTCCCGTTTTAAGAGTAGAGATGCCGTGGTCCAAAGCTGGTCTGGAATTTTCCCTGCATTGAGGTCTATTCAATACAATAATCTATTTTAAACCTAAATCTCTTGCCCAGGTGTGAATTTCCTTATGGCTGCCCTAGGACTAGATAGTGGATGACATTCAACAAGTATTGGTTTGTATTACACACCTTTTAATAGCATTTTAATGGCTTTGGCACCTTCCCTCTGAACGTTTCTCCTTTTGGCCCCCCTACTTCTCTGTGTACCTTTTTGTCTTCAGGTGGATCATTGGGATCTGCCCTTTGCAGAAAAATCTACACTTTGGTACTTGAAATGCCATGATATACATCTTAAAAAATTTTTTGGGGGGAACATGGTCTCCCTTTGTTGCCCACGTTAGAGTACAGTGGGCACAATCATAGCTCACTGAAATCTTAAACTCTTGGGCTCAAGCAGTTTTCTTGCCTCAGTCTCTCAAGTAGGTGGGACTACAGAGGCACAACCACCGTGCCTAGTTAATGCTTTTTCTTTTTTGTAGAGACAGAGCCTTGCTATGTTGACTATGGTGGTCTTGAACTCCTGGCCTCAAGTAATTCTTCCATCTTGGCTTCCCAAACAGCTGGGATTACAGCCATGAGCCACCATGCCCAACCATGACATACTTTTTTTTCGTTTTTCTTTTCTTTTTTTTGAGACTGCGTCTCACTGTGGTGCCCAAGCTGGAGTGCAGTGGTATGATCTTGGCTCACTGCAACCTCCGCCTCCCAGGTTCAAGCTCTTCTCGTGCCTCAGCCTCCCAAGTAGCTGGAACCACAGGCGCGAGCCACCATGCCTAGCCAATTTTTGTATTTTTAGTAGAGACGGGTTTCACCATGTTGGCCAGGCTGGTCTCAGACTCCTGACCTCCAGTGATCTACCCACCTCAGCCTCCCAAAGTGCTGGGATTACAGGCGTGAGCCACTGTGCCCAGCCAATACACATTTTTTAGATGAAGAAACTGAGGCTCAGAAAAGGTAATTGGCTTGCCCAAGGTCATATAGGCACTCATTAACAGAGGTCAAGACCAGAACACTGACTTCCCTGAATTCTATTCCATGGTGACTCTGTTAAGCCAGTAAGCATCACCTTTTAAAAAATAAGTATTTCCAAAGTAGGGGTTAGGAATGGAGGGAATGAAACTCTCACTGAAGAAAGGATAGGGCTAAAGGAAGGATTGAACCCATGCAAGGAAATGGCTCTGAGTAGGCAGAAGGCCCGGGGAAACAGAAGTGTCTGGCTGTGGACAGGGAGAGGAGGTGCCATGGGGTGAGGAAAAGGCACAGAGAGAGTTGAGAGCCACCACCAGCACATACTTGGACTGGTTGAAAATCTGACTCCCCCAAACAGATATAAATGCTCCTCCAGATCTTACTATTTCTACAGCTGTGACTTAACTGCTGCTTATCTTTCCTCCAAGAGATTCCTTGGAATGAAACCAATGGGAGTCCAGGGTTTGGAAGAGTCTCATCAGAGCAGATGGGCCAGCAGCAGCCAGAACCCTTGTTGCCTTTGGCTGAGAACACTGTCCTGGATCTGAATGTCTTGTGAGCAAACCCCAGCAGGCTCAGCCTTAGGCCTGAGCGAAGTTGGCCTGCTTCTCCTAGAAGAACCTTGTGTACTCCCACATCTTCCCTCCCCTCTTTTGCATGTTGAAAATCACATTCTGAGAGCACTCTTGAAGCTAAAACCACATTGCCTGTTAGCAGCCCCAGAAGGATGGCGTCTTAGTGCTTTTGGTCCCTTGGTATATTTAGAAGTGCACTGCATGGAGGGTCAGGAGGCCCAGTTCTGATTCTTACCCAACCACTAATTTTCCCTAGGACCACAGGCAAAGTATTTGTCCCTGCGCCACATTTCCTTAGCCGTAAAGTTGTTTATAATAACTTTAATTTAGGAAATGTTTGCTGTATATCAGACATAATCTCATTGAATTCTTTCAACAATCCTATGGAATATGTACTTTTTTTTTTTTTTTTTTTAATATGGAATCTCGCTCTGTCACCCAGGCTGGAGTGCAGTAGCACCATCTCGGCTCACTGCAACCTCTGCCTCCCAGGTTCAAGCAATTCTCCTGCCTTAGCCTCCTAGTAACTAGAATTACAGGCATGTACCACCATGCCTGGCTAATTTTCATAATTTTAGTAGAGATGTGATTTCCCCATGTTGGCCAGGCTAGTCTTGAACTCCTGGCCTCAAGTGATCTATTTGCCTCGGCCTCTCAAAATGTGACTGGCCAGGCATAAGCCACAGCCCTAGGCTAGCATAGGTACTATAATTGTCCTGCTTTACAGGTAAGGAAGCTAAGGCTTAGAATTTTATATGCTAACCAACCTATTTAAATTACCAGCCCCTACCTGTGGCCAGCACCACTTTCTCTGCCTTATTTTAGCCATAGCATTTATTACCACCTAATATGTTATATATTTTACGTTTTGGTTTGCTCTCTCCCTCTATGAGACTATAAGCTCCATTAGGGAATGGATTTTTATCTTTGTATTCCTGTTGTTATTGTTCATTTGCTGTGTCCCTAAGACCTAGAATTATGCCTGGCTCATGATAGGTACTCAATATTGGTTGAATGAAAAAAACAAGTGAATGAATTCTTGGTAGGAGTGTAAATTGGTATAGACTCTGAGGAAGTCAGTTTGGCAATAGTAATATTTAACATGCACTAACCTTTGGACCCTGCAACACCAGAACTATGTATATCCTATAGACGATATATTCATGCGTCTTCCTAAACCGTGAATACCAGGCACAGTGACTTATGTCTGTAATCCCAGCACTTTGGGAGGCCAAGGCAGGAGGATCACTTGAGCTCAGAAGGTTGAGACTGCCTGGGCAACATAGTGAGACTCTATCTCTATCAGATAAATAGATAACCAGACATAGTGGCACCTATCTGTGGTTCAAGCTACTTGAGGGGCTGAGGTGAAAGGATTGCTTGAGGCCTGGAAGCTGGAGGTTGCAGTGAGCCATGATCATGCCACTGCAGTCCAACCTGGGTGACACAGTGAGACCCTGTCTCAAAAAAAAAAGAAGTAAAATATTCATCAATAAGAGAACTTATTGAATAAGTGTGATAGGTCCCTCCAGTGGGCTTCTATGTAGAAGTGGAAAAGAATGCAGTAAAACTGCATATGCTGATACATAACAACTTAAGAGATACTAAGTAAAAAAAAGCAGAGTGTAAGATGATGTATCACTATTTTTCATTTGTATGAAAAGAAAAAGTATGATAGATTTTAAGATGTACTTGTTTATGTCTAGACTCTTTCTAGAAAGATAGCTAAGAAACAAATGATTGCCTCTGAAGAGGGTACAGAAGTTTTAGTTTGGGATGGAGAACATCCTCTGACTGAGATAAAATTCACAAACAATATAAGACTCATTTAAAGTATATAGTTCACTTTATATGAGTGAATTACGTTTGGTATAAACTTTTAAACATTATGGTTGGCGGGGGCAGTAGCCCACACCTGTAATCCCAGCGCTTTGGGAGGCCAAGGCAGGCACATCACAAGGTCGGGAGTTTGAGACCAGCCTGGAAATATGGTGAAACCCCCTCTCTAGTAAAAATACAAAAATTAGTCAGGCATGGTGGCAGGCACCTGTAGTCCCAGCTACTCAGGAGGCTGGGGCAGGAGAACTGCTTGAACCCAGGAGGTGGAGGTTGCAGTGAGCCAAGATCATGCTACTGCGCTCCAGCTTGGGCAACAGAGTGAGTCTCCGTCTCACCAAAAAAAAAAAAAAAGGTTAAAATATATATAATGTAAAATTGGCTTCTCCCCACTTTTTTTTTTTTTTAAGAGACAGGGTCTCTATTACCTAGACTGGAGTGCAGAGGCATGATCATAGCTCGCTGTAACCTTGAACTCCTAGACTCAGGAGGTCTTCTCACCTCAGCCTCCCAAGTAGTTGGGACTACAGGTATGCGCTATCATACCTTGATAATTAAAATAATTTGTTGTTGTTGTTGAGATAGGGCCTCACTATGACCAGGCTAGTCTCAAATTCCATAATCTCAAGTGACTCAAGCAATTCTGCCATCTTGGCCTCCCAAAGTGATGGAATTACAGGCATGAGCCACCACAGCTGGCCTGTCCCTTTTTAAGTATATAATTCATTGGCATTAATTACATTCACAATGTTGTGCAACCATTGCCACTATTTCCCAAATATTTTCATCCCCCAAACAGAAACTTTAACTACCGTAGTGTAGTCTTTTATAATATTTTATTTTTTAAAAATAATACGTATGTATTACCTTTTTTATTTTAAAAACTAATTTTAGGCCAGGCAAGGTGGCACACACTTAAAATCCCAACACTTTGGGAAGCCGACGTAGGAGGATAACTTGAGCCCAGGAGTTCAAGACCAGTTTAGGCAATATAGAGAGACCTCATCACTACAAAAAAATTTTTTTAAATTATCCAGGCGTGGTGGCACATGTCTACAGTCCCAGCTACTCGGGAGGCTGAGGTGAGGGGACTGCTTAAGCCCAGGAGATTGAGACTGCAGTAAGCCATGATTGTGCAACCACACTCCAGCCTGGGCAGTAGAGCAGGTCCCTGTTTCACAAATATAAAATAAAATAAAAAAATTTTAAAATTAAAATGAATTTTAAAAAGAAAGTATAACAGGTTTAGAAAACTTAGTAACTTGCCTAAGATTGCACAGCTCATATTTCATAGCAGCAACCACCAGTTTTATTATAAAGTAATAAAAATTCTTACAAAGAATGAAGTTTTAGCCGTCTTTCTGGGTGTTATAAGGGACTTGGATATCATCTAATTCCTTCATTTTACAGGTGAGATAACAGATTCATTGAGGCAAGATGGCTACCCCAAGTCAAGAATCCTATCAGTAGCAGGCCTCCTAATCCAAAGGACAGAGTAGGTCACAGAAGAGGTCTTTTGCTTTTGACAAAACAAGTAAGGTTTGAATCTCTCCTGCCCTCAAAAGGGATTTAGGAGTCTCTTACTTCAGGTATCTCTTGTATGTTCCATGTACCTGTACTGTCTAGTAGGAGGGAATGGGGCCACTGCACCCTGATATCATTGTTTCTGTTTATCTGAAACTACACAGCAAACCCTTAGGACCTATCTCAATTTCTACTTGTAAGAAAATGTATCTGATTGCCCTACCACATCCAATTCCCACTTAAGTCCTAACTCATATATACATTATTATTTGAAACATGTAATTAGCAATCAGAGAAGGTGTGAGGCATTTTATAGCTGTGTCAATGTATGAGTCCATTCTGCCCACTAGTGTAAAGCTCCAGGGAAGCTGGAGGTGGGTGATTGATTTCTGCTAGAAGGTCCCCAATAGATGGTTTTTGGTTTTTTAGGTTAATTGAGCTGTGCTGTTCTGAAAAAAAAAACTGTGATTTTAGATATGAAATATTTCAAGGGTTTAGCTGCGCCTCCCTGCAGAGCTGTGTGCTGGATCACAGAACATTGGAATCAGTGGACATTGTGGCTATCCCTCCGTTTCTGAGAACAAAGTGTGACTCTTTCCTGTTTTCCTTACCTTGGCATTAATTGCATCTTCATTTATGTGATTGTTTGATTGCAGTTCATCTTCTCCTCCTCCCTCCCTCCCCCAATAGACTAGAAATTCCATAAGAACATAGACTGTGTCTGTCTTCACTCACCAGCATATCTCCAGCACCAAGCCTGGCACATAGTAGGTGCTCAAGAAATACTTGTCAACTGGATGAATGAAGATAGCACCTTATTTTATAGATGAGGAAGCAGAGGCCCAAAGAGATCAGGTCAGTGGCAGAGCTGGGACAAGAAGGCAAGTCTCCTGGTTCCTCAGCCAGCATTCTATTTTCCTCTGTATCCTCTCAGCATCGGAGTTGGAAAATCTTGGCACCTAGTCTTACCCTTTCATTTTACAAATGGGAAACTGAGGCCCAGAGAGGGGAAAGACTTACCCAGGGCCCACGGAAAGAGGCACTGGCAAAGCAAAGCCTAGTACTTAGGTATCCTGACTCCCAAGCTAGTGCTCTTTCTTTGTAAAAGCACAAAAAAAAAAAAAAAAACAAAGCTGAATTGGGCTTCTTGCCAAGCCCCTGCAGGAGGTCACATAGCCGAGCAGCTCTCAGAGTTCCTTGTCTATTCTTAGCCTGAACTTTTAGTGACTCTGGTCTTCAGCAGCCTTTTTCCCCCTTTTTCCTTTGCAATGGTCTGTTGCGTATATGTAGTGTGTGTTTTAAATAAATGGTGCTACGTGTAGGAAATGGGCTTTAGCACAGTCTTGCTACAGAGGTCCTGAAAAGAATAAACGCGAGAGAAGGGGCCCTGAGAAAACAATCAACTTCCCTTCCTCTGAAGTGACCCCAGTGTCCCAGAGCCACCCCCTCTCTGCTGCCTGTCACAACTACCAACACAAGGCTAAACCCCTCACACAATAAGAAGGAAGTCGACATAAAGAACTTAAAAGGAAGATTGGCTATTAGTATTGGCCACTGAAGCCTCATTTTGATGAGGATCAAAAATCAGCTCTTCCTAAGCTGTGGTCCCTCTTCTAACATACACTGCAGTTTCCCAGCAGCAAGTCATTTATCAGTCAGTCACCAAACATGAATGAAAAGACCCTTCAGACACAGTTCTAAACTCTCAAAGCCTTCTTCTTTCTCTACTTGGCCAAACACTTGCTCCAAACAAGAGACACACAAGAAATTTAAGCAGCTACTGACCTCAGGTTACTTGGAAAGGACAAGAGACACAGTGGATAAAAGGTAACTAATGTTGCCCATGTGCAAAATGACAAATGAGAAGAACAGCTCTACATCAAGTTCATATGAGGAGAGGTCACTCTGGGCTAAGCTAGGTCAAGGAAAATTCAGGGGAGCAACTTGAACTGCTCTTGTATATTAGTTATCTATTCCTGTATAACAGATTGCTCCAGTTTGTGTGTTACTTGCATATTCTTTTTTTTTTCCCCCCAGAGAGACAGGGTCTCACTATGTTGCCCAAGCTGGTCTTGAATTCCTGGGCTCAAGGGATCCTCCTGCCTCAGGTTCCCAACATGCTGGGATTATAGGTATGAACTGTCACGCTTAGTCTAGTTGTCTATTCTTGCATGTCCTTAAAACTTAGTGACTTAAAACAGTAAGCATTTAATATCCAACATTTCTGTGGGTCAAGTATCCAGAGGTAGCTTAGCCAGGTGCCTCTGGCTCAGTCTCTCATGAGGTTTCAGTCAAGCTGTCAGCTTAAAGGCTCATCAGATGGTAGAGAAGAATCCAGTTTCAAGCTCACTGAAGTGGTCATTGGTAGGCCTCAGTCCTTCCTGATATAGGCTTCTCTATAGGGCTGCTTCAAGACTCAGTGCTACTGTCACCCAGGGTGAGAGGTTTAAGAGAGGAAGTGTGAACAAGATGAAAGCCACATTCCTTTTGTAACCTAATCTCAGAAGTGATATCCCATCACTTTTGTTGTATTCCTTGTTATCAGCAGTGAGTCACCAGGTTCAGCCCACATACAGGAATGTGAATACCACGAGGCAGAGATCATGGGAGCCATCTTAGAGGCTGCCTCCCATACCTTGCCAGATGAATACTATTTAAATAAGGCAGAGTAAGCATTCTAGGTAGGGAACTGGATTTTGAAAGGTTTGATTGGGGATGACTTGGTTGGAACAAGACATAAATAGGAGGGTAGTAGGTAACTAGAGAGGTTGACTGGGCCCAGACTGAACTGGGTTTTCAATGCCAGGCCAAAGAGTTTTAGAGTTATGCACCGCATAGCAGTGTTTCAGTCAATGGCAGATCACATATACAATGGTGGTCCCATAAGATTTTAATGGAGCTGAAAAATTCCCATTGCCTGGTGATGTCATGGCCATTATACCATCCTATTACAGTGTATTACTTATGTGCTTTTGGTGATGTTGGTGTAAACACACCTACATTTGCACTGCCAGTCAAATAAAAGTATATAGCAAATACGATTACATACAGTGCATAAGATTTGATAATAAATGATGATGTTACTGGTTTATCTATTTACTATACTTTTAATCATTATTTTCGAGTATACTCTTTCTACTTATGGAAAAGAACGGTAAGTGTGAAACAGCCTTAGGTAAGTCCTTCAGGAAGTATTTGAGAAGAAAGTATTGTTATCATAGAGGATCGCTCCATGCATGTTATTGCATGGAGCTTCCAGTGGATCAGGATGTGGAGATGGGGACAGTGATATTGATCCTGACCCTGGGTAGGGAGGGTCCCTGGATAACCCTAACCTAGGCTAATATATGTTTATGTTTGTCTTAGTTTCAAACAAAACTGTTTAAAAAGTAAAACAAAAATACAACACTAAAGGAAATAAACTTATAGAATAAGGAAATAAGAATACAAATATATATAAATATGAATATAAGGATTTTTATACAGCTGTACAATGTTTTGGTATTTTAAGCTAATGGTTTTTGCAAAAGAATCAAAAAGTTAAAAATTAAAAGATTTATAAAGTTAAAAAGTTACTGTAAGCTGGCCCGGCGCAGTGGCTCACGCCTGTAATCTCAGCACTTTGGGAGGCCAAGGCGGGCGGATCATGAGGTCAAGAGATCGAGACCATACTGGCCAACATGGTGAAACCCCATCTCTACTAAAAAATACAAAAATTAGCTGGGCGTGGTGGCACATGCCTGTAGTCCCAGCATCTCGGGAGGCTGAGGCAGGAGATTGCTTGAACCCGGAGGCGGAGATTGCAGTAAGCCAAGATTGCGCCACTGTACTCCAGCCTGGCGCCTGGCGACAGAGCAAGACTCTGTCTCAAAAAAAAAAAAAAAAAAAAGTTACTGTAAGCTAAGCTTAGTTTATTTAAGAAATAGAAACTTAAAAATGCATTTAGCGTAGCCTAAGTATGCAGTATTTATAAAGTCTACAATAGTGCACACTAATGCCATAGGCCTTCACATTCACTCACCACTCACTGACACACCCAGAGCAACCTCCAGTCCTTCAGGCTCCATTCGTGGAGCTTGTACACCTCTACAAGTATACTATTTAAACAAATTTTTACACTATGTTTTCGCTGTACCTTTTCTGTGTTTAGATTTGATTAGAGATATATACACTTCCCATTGTGTTACAGTGGCCTACAGTTTTCATTACAGCAACATGCTGTACAGGTTTGCAGCCTAGGAGCAATAGGCTACACCATACAGCTTAGGTATGTAGTAGGCTGTACCATCTAGTTTGTGTAAGTACACTATGAATTTGCACAATGACAAAAATCGCCTATTGACACATTTCTCAGAATGTATCATTGTCATTAGCAACACATGACTGTGTTTTTATCCTCAGACTCTGGTCTACATTCCTGCACTCAGTTGTAAACTCTGTGAGATTAGGAACCAGGTCTATTTTATTCCTATTGTATCTGTATAATTTGTGGTTGGCATATATAGTAGTTGGCCAAGAAAATTTGTTGACTGAATAATGCAGAGTTACCAGATTTGTTTTTTTTTTTTAATTTCTGACAATTTAATCCCAAGGAAGCCTACATATTTACTTTAGGAGCTTCTAATCGGGATATAAATGTTGTCCTCTATTTCTTTGCCTTTTTTTTTTAAAGACAGTCTTGCCCTATTATCCAGGCTGGAGTGCAGCGGATTGATCCTGACTCACTGCAATCTCCGCCTCCCAGGTTCAAGCTATTCCCCTGCCTTAGCCTCCCAAGTAGCTGGGACTACAGGCGTGTGCCACCACACCCAGCTAATTTTTGTACTTTTAGTAGAGATAGGGTTTTGCCATGTTGACGAGGCTGGTTTTGAATTTCTGATCTCATGGTCCGCCCTCTTTGGCCTCCCAAAGTGCTGGGATTACAGGCGTGAGCCACTGCACCAACCTACTTCCCCTATTTCTAAAGCATCATTATTCAAATTACCCAGCACATAACAAAGTGGGAAGTTGGGTTTTAATCATGGGCCTACATCCTTCCCTGTGACTAAAAGCTCTTTAAACACTTCATCATTCTGTTGAGCCTCAGAATCTTGGAATACAGGTGAAAGAAGACAAACTTGAAGTCTAAGAACAAACAAAGCTGGTTCTGCTCACCTAGCAGTCCAGGAGTCAAACCTGCCAATAGACTGGTCAAGTTCCAGCACCCGGTCCTGCCCTTTAGTCACGCTGCCTCCTGCCTTACTGGCTCACCAGAATCTATTTTGTGCAATGCTTTTGAGTATGAAGAGAGAATCTATTCTGGGGGAAGGAGTAAAGGAAGCAAAACTGTAAGGTGAGTGTTTTAGTTCTGCTAGGACTGCCTTAATAAAATACCCTGGACTGGGTGGCTTAAACAGAAAATTTATTTTTTACAATTATGAAGTCTGGAAGTCTAAGATCAAGATGTTAGCAGGTTTGGTTTCTTGTGAGGTGTGTCTCCTGGGCATGCCAATGGCTGTCTCAATGGCTGTTTTTCTTAATGGCCCTTTTTCTCTGCACATACATCCCTGGTATCTCTTCCTTCTCTTAGAAAGACACCAGTCCTATTAGATGAGAGTCCCACTCTTATGACCTTATATAACCTTAATTACCTCATCTCCAAATATAGTTATCCTGGGGGTTAGGACCTCAAAATATGAATTTAGGGGGGACAGTTCAGTCAGTAACAGTGGGCAAGGTTTATTTCAAGTGTGCCTTCTAGCCTGTCATCCATAAGGAATAATCTCCCTCTGTGGAGATGGCAGTTGATGATCCCTAAAAATTCTTCACATCCGTGATCTCATGTGATATTACAACAGCCTCCAAGTTAGCAGAGGTAGTGTTATTATCTCTCCACTTCAGATGAAGAAACAGAGCAAGAAGGTTAACAGGTTCTCCCAGTCACAGAGCGTGGAATCTGGTTTCTGACTTCTGGGCCTCTCTGTGCTTTGCGCCACAGGCATGCACCACCACACCTGGCTAACATTTTTTTAATTGTTTTATTGTTTTACTTTTACTACAGATGAGGTCTCATCATGTTGCCCAGACTGGCTCAAACTCCTGGGCTTGAGTGATCCTCCTCCCTCAGCCTCCCAAAGTGCTGGGATTACATGCAGGAACCACCAAACCTGGCCCTCCCAACCTAGACTCTAACTGTCCATGTTTTCTTTCTCTTGCTCTACTCCATGAAAACTTACCCACCCTTCAGAGTTCCTCCACTTGATTTACAAAGTGACAACTAACTGGCTGAATAAACCATTATTAATAAACTATGTTGATTTGTTAGTGAGATATTACTAGGAGGGATCTCGGCCAAGCGGATTAACAACCTATGAGATTTTAGGGCTAGAAAATATGTTTTTCACATACTGTATCCAACTTACTTATATTCTGACAAAAATTATGTAAAGTAGATACTATTGTCTCTTTTCCCGCAAAAAAGAAACAGATTCAGAGATTAGGTAGCTAGGCCATGATGACACAAGTGAGTAGCAGAGGTGGAACTCAAACCCAGATATTGCATGTACTTTTCACTACATCTTGCTCCATAGCCAAACTTTACTAGTTAGTTAAAAAAAGTGTTGTCCTGAAGTTCACCTCTGAATAGTCAAAGATGTGGCCTTTCCTCACCCATCTAGTCTGCCCGAACCTACCCTCATTGCTCCCACATTGCTGGGACTTGAGTCTCAGTTCCATTCCTGCTTTGCTATGGTGATCACAAGCACATTTTTTCCCTCCTCGTTGGGCTTTTGTTTTTTTCATCTGTGAAATTAAAGCACTGACTGGGGTCATTTTTCAGTTTTGAGAGTCTAAAAAACTGATTGTTTTTATCTTCCATTTCATTCATTCAACAGGTATTCATCAAGCACTTGCTTATGCCAAGCACTCTGCTAGGTACTGGGGACAGAGCAATAAACAAATCAGGCAAAGGTCTCTGCCCTCAGAAAGTTTACTTTCTTTTCTTTTCTTTTTTTTGAGACACATTCTTCTCTGTCACCCAGGCTGGTATGCAGTGGCGCAATCTCAGCTCACTGCAACCTCCACCTCCCAGGTTCAGGTCATTCTCCTGCCTCACCCTCCTGAGTAGCTGGGATTACAGGCATGTGCCCCCACACCCAGCTAATTTTGTAGATTTTTTTTAGTAGAAATGGGGTTTCACCACATTGGCCAGACTGGTCTCAAACGCCTAACCTCAGGTGATCCACCCGCCTTGGCCTCCCAAAGTGCTGGGATTACAGGCGTGAACCACCACACCCAGCTGGGAGTTTAGTTTCTTACATGCTGGGAAAGGACCCTCGAAAGCATCTAGTCAAGTCCTTTTACAGAAAAGTGAGCTATGATGGGTAGTGACTTGCCCAAAGTCACAAAGCAAGAAGTGGCAGAGAAAGCATCAAGGAAGCTGGATGTTTTCATTCCGAGTTTGGGATATTTTTCTTCATTGCCACACCTTGTATTGTGAATTATCCTAGAACATGGTTGATCTCAGCTTCCTGAGTAGTCTGTGACTTCTGATAGGTGTTTATTCCTGATATATGCTTCACACTGTGCTGCTGCTGCTGCTGCTAGAGTATCTGACAACAGAGTTCACTCTCAGAAACCACCATTTCAACATTCTGAAGCAGAAAGCCTCCAGCACACAGGAGTACGATCAGAGTCTGACATGCAGGGCGCGAGCCAGCTCACAAGCAGCCGTCTTCTACAGGGTCTCCTCCTTTTCCTGCCCCCAGGGCTGGAGTCTGTTTCCACTATCACATTGCATGTTTTTCTGTTCTGCTCACTACTTTTATACTGCTTTCTTTTCTCCAGATCAGGACCTGAAGTAGCTTGCTCCCCATCCAGGTATTCTACTGGCTCTTGCCCATGAAACTTTCACCACTCCTTGAATCCTGTTCCACAAAGTGAGGCAGCTGAGACTTAGGCTAAGTGACCTACTGAGGCCGGAAGTCAGCACAGTGTGGGACCAGCCCCCATGCTGTTTCCCAGATGAAGGCACCTTCATGCATACCTTGGGCATGATCTGTAACAGCTCAGAAAGCCTGGACACCAGCAGGGCAGCACCTATATGGGGAGCAGCCGTCTGCACTGTCTGCGTTCAATGAGTGTTCATTTCACTACCCTTCACCACAGTTATTTTTTAATTTTAAATTTTATCAGAGTTACACAGGCACATAGATTAAAACGGGAACTAGTTCTATAAAGTTTGTTAAGACAAAGAGCAGTCCTCAACCTCCATGTACCCACCCCAACCCCATTTCCTTTTCCCTAGAGGGACCACTTTCAACTTGTTTAATTCTTTTGGAATTTACTTATCTCGAAATAACATGTTTATAATACTACTTCCTGTTTTTTCCTTTAGGCGTTATCTGTTGACTTCCCACTATGGAAACTGAGGATTTAGCCTCCTCCTCCTTCATTGCTTCCTCTATACATATGTACCTCCCTATGTGCCCCCTTGCTCCCCATATAGTATAATTTTTCATAGATGATAATGTTTTTTTGTTTTTGTTTTTGTTTTTTTGAGATGGAATTTCACTCTTGTTGCCCAGGCTGGAGGCAATGGCATGATTTCAGCTCACTATAGCCTCCATCTCCCAGGTTTAAGCAATTCTCCTGCCTCAGCCTCCTGAGCAGCTGGGATTACAGGCATGCACCACCATGCCTGGCTAGATAGTGTTTGTTATGACAGTGTGAATGCCATTTGCAGCTAAGCCATATAGTCAGCTATGATTGCTTTTCCTATCTAACATACTATTTTGTTTATTTTTTTTCATGCACTTAGGTTTCTAAGGCCTAACCACTAGCCACTCTTACCACTTAAACTCTCCCAATTACCTAGCTCTCCTCTCAATACATTCTTCTCAGGAAAGTGTCTTGGGAGCCCCTCTCCTGCTCTGGGGGCCTGCTACCAGAGCTGCTATCCCAGAACCTCTGTTTACCACTGTCCAGGAGATCCCCTTGCCTCTTTCTTGTGTTAGATTGCAGTTTTCTGGATCCCATGTTTTCTCCTTTTGTGCTTTCGTCTCTCCTTTTGATGACATTATGTCCTCCAGGAGTTTCCTGGGAGTACACAAAAGATAAAGTTTTCAAAATCTTGTGTGTCTCAAAGTGTCTATCACTTGATTAATTGAGTGTAGAATTCTAGGTAAGAAGTCATACTTCAGTCTCATTGTCTTCTAACTTCCAGCTGCTGTTGAGAAGGCCAAAGTCATTCCGATTCCTCGCTCTTTGTGTGCGACCTTGCAGGATTTCTTTGTCCCTAGCATTGAGAAATTTTACAATGATATACCTATTGTCCTGGCCATTTGTGGCCCTTTCAATCTGAAAAGTCATGTCCTTTCAATTCTGGAGTGTTTTCTTGAATTACTTAATTTCCTTTGTTGTGTTTCTAAAACTTCTTATTCACATATTGGGTGAATTTCTCATCTGTTACTTCCTAGTTTCTATTTTATCTTTTTATTCTACTTCCTGGAAAATTTTCTCAATATGTTTTCTAATCCTTCCATTAAGCATTTTGTTTCTGATGTCATATTTTTTCTTTCCAATAGCTCCCATTTGTATTTTTAGTAGAGACGAGGTTTCATCACGTTGGCCAGGTGGTATCGAACTCCTGACCCCAAGTGATCCACTTGCCTTGGCCTCCAAAAGTGCTGGGATTATAGGCATGAGCCACTGCGCCTGGCCAAAAAAAATGTTTGTTTTTTTTTGATGGAGCTTTAGGTATAGGAAAATTAGATGCATGTGTTTAATTCATTTTTTTTTTTTTTTTTTGAGACAGAGTCTCACTCTGTTGCCCAGGCTGATGTGCAGTGGCATGATCTCAGCTCACTGAAACCTCTGCCTCCCAGGTTCGGACGAATCTCCAGCCTCAGCAGGAGTAGCTGGAATTACAGATGCCCACCACCATGACTCTAGGTAAGAAGTTGTTTTGCCTCAGAACTTAGATACCTCAGCCCAGTTGTCTTCTAGCTTCCAGCTGCTGTTGAGAAGGCCAAAGTCATTCTGATTCCTCATTCTTTGTGTGCGACCTTGCAGGATTTCTTTGTCCTTAGCATTAAGAAATTTTACAATGACATACCTATTTTCCTGGCCATTTTTGTATTTGTAGTCATTGTATTTGTATTTGTAGCTTATTTTTGTATTTGTAGTCAAGACAGGGTTTCCCCATGTTGACCAGGCTCATCTCGAACTCCTGAGTTCAAGTGATCTGCCCACCTTGGCCTCCCAAAGTGCTGAGATTACAGGCAAGAGCCACTGTGCTTGGCCTAATCCACTATTTTTATTTAGTGTCTCTATATATACTAGTTATTTAATGATTCATACCTTATATTTGTATTAATCCCTTTAAGCTTTCATAATGGACTTCTATCAGTTAACTTATTTGATCCTCTCCACCTAGACAGAGTCTCCCTCTGTCACCCAGGCTGTAGTGCAATGATCCACATATAATATGTGTTGATCAGACTTTGCAGTCAATCTAGTTCAGCCCCATCAACTCACAGAGAGAAAACCCAATTCCCAGAAAGGTGAAGTATCATGCTGGAAAACATTCGTTTCTGCCAGACTTAGCAGAGACATGTGAGACATTATTTGGCAGGCACATAATATGGTAGTTTTGTTTTTTCACTCTTTAAAAAAAATTGTTATTGCTAGATGTGGTTACATGATCCTATAGTTCCAGCTTCTTGGGAAAGTGAGGCAGGAAGATTGCTGGAGTCTAGGAGTTCAAAGCTGTAGTGCACTGTGAATGGCCACTACACTTCAGTCTGGGCAATATAGCGAGACTCTTTTTTTTTTTTTAAGTGTTACAGGCCAGGTACAGTGGCTCACGCCTGTAATTCCAGCATTTTGGGAGACGGAGATGGGCGGATCACTTGAGATCAGGAGTTTGAGACTACCTGGCCAACATGGTGAAACCCTGTCTCTACAAAAAAATAGCTGGGCATGGTGGCACGTGCCTGTAGTCACAGCTGCTTGGGAGGCTGAGGCAGGAGAGTCATGTGAACCTGGGAGGCAGAGGTTGCAGTGAGCCAAGATCGTGCCATTGCACTCCAGCCTGGACAACAGAAGGAGACTCTGTCTAAAAAAAAAAAAAGGGGTTATTGAGACATAACTGAGAATAAGCTGCACATATGTACAGTGTATGACTTGGTAAGTTTTGACATATATATACACATCCTGCAATCATCATATCTCTCACCTCAAAGTTCCCTCATACCCCTTTGTAATTCCACCTTCCTGTCTCCTCCCAGCCTGACCCAATCAACCACTGATTACTTTCTGTCACTATAGATTAGTTTTCATTTCCTAGATATAAATAGAATCGTGCAGAATAATCTTTTTTTCTGTCTGGCTTTGTTACATGTAGTCATGTAGTCTTTTGTTTTTGTTGTTTTGTTTTTGTTTTTTTAAGAGGGTCTTGCTCTGCCACCCTCTTAAAAAGTTACATGTAGGCCAGGTACAGTGGCTGTATAACCTTGTTACATGTAGGCCAGGTGCAGTGGCACAATTATGGCTTAATATAACCTTGAACTCCTGAGCTCAAGCAATCTTCCGGCCTCAGACTCCCAAGTAGCTAGGACCACAGTTATGGCTAATTTTTTAAAAATTCTGGCCGGGCATGGTGGCTCATGCCTGTAATCTCAGCACTTTGGGAGCCTGAAGTGGGCGGATCACGAGGTCAGGAGTTGAAGACCAGCCTGACCAACGTGGTGAAACCCCGTTTCTACTAAAAATACAAAAATCAGCCAGGTGTAGTGGCATGCGCCTGTAATCCCAGGTACTCAGGAGGCCGAGGCAGGAGTATCACTTGAACCTGGGAGGTGAAGGTTGCAGTGAGCTGAGATCGCACCACTGCACTCCAGCCTAGGTGACAGAGTGAGACTCTGTCTCAAAAAAAAAAAAATTCTTTGTAGAGACAGTGTCATGCTATGTTGCTGAGGCTTGACTCGAACTCCTGGTCTTAAAAGATCCTCATGCCTCAGCCTCCTGAAGGGCTGGGATTACAGGTATGAGCCACTGTACCTGGCCTACGTGTAACTTTGATGGATACTTTGGAGATCATACCTGACTGTTCAGGTGGAAAGCCTTCACCAGCTCCACATCCCTCTACATCCTTTCTCTTCCACACACTGCCCATCTTCCCTCTTCTAGTTCCAGAGGCTACAAGTCTTCAATGTTCTAGTCTTCTCTTCATATGAGCCTGATCCCCAGAAAGGACCAATATATTCCGTTCACACTGAGGTCACTGATATTACTGATAAGTATTTTGTAAAAGACAAAAGACAAAAACCCACATTTGGCTTGTACCAAAGAAATAAAGGTCTAGTGATAGATTTCTAAGCATTAGTAGATAAATTTGGAAAAGATTTTTTTGACAAGGGCTTCTCTGAACTTCTAGAAGTACATCTTATATAATGGAGTCCTCTGTAGACTGACTCTGCTGCAGATAGGCACAGTGAATTGAAATCACCTCTGGTCCCATTCAGAATTTCAGTTTCCTGAAATGTCAGCTATCTGAGAGCTAAGAAAAGAACTAATGTCTTGCCGGCCTTCCTTCCTTTTGGTCTATTTGGCAGAGAAAACAATCCTGTATAGATAAAGGGTCACTCAGGAGGGCAGGGCCTCCTGTGTTTAGTCCTAATGTCCTTGGTCCGGGTGAGAGGAGGACCATCGGAGGGAACCCTGGGAAGCTGGACTGAGGTCCAAGCTGGCAGAGACCCAAGGATCACAGGCAGGAGAGCCTGGAAGACTTGACTGCCCTGCCTTTCTTCTTTCTCATTTTTACATTTATTCTTCTTAACAGCTTTGTGAAGCAAGAGAATGGAAAATACTTCTCTGTTTTAAAAATGAGTAAAGAGAGGTAGTGTAACCTGTGTAATTCAAAGCCTTTCTTAGTCCTAGCTCTGTCTGTGGAGGCCCCAGTCCACCTGTCTGCTGATGTCAGGGAACATGGTAGTGTGAAACCTCCGGGCTGGGGCAGAGGATTCAGGGCAAGAAAGTTAGGGAAGGGAGTGGAGTCCTCAAGCCCTCAACCATTGTTCCTCCCTCCACTGCCCTATGTGACTTCCCCCAGGTTTGTCATTCCTCTCCAGGGGCCTATTTGAAAATGCATAAGCCTAGGAGGGGAGGGCAAATGGAGTGGTCCCCAGTAGTCTGTGGGAAGGGAACCATCAGACATTTTCCTTATAAACAGGAGAACCCGCTTAGGACAAAGCTGCTGGTTAAAGGGGAAAACACACAGGCAGTCAGTCCTTTTGGCCCAGTTTAGCATTTGTTGAATACGGACTCTCTGCCCAAATGGGGCCAGACATACTTCCCAACCTCATGGTCCTTGTAGGTCTTTCTTTTTCTTTCTTTCTTTTTTTGTTTTTTTTTTTGAGACAAGTCTCACTTTGTCACCCAGGCTGAAATGCAGTGGTGTGATCTCAGCTCACTGCAACCTTTGCCTCCCGGGTTCAAGCAATTCTCCTGCTTCAGCCTCCCAAGTAGCCACAATTATAAACATGTGCCACATACCTGGCTAATTTTTGTATTTTTAGTAGAGATAGAATTTCTTTTTTTTTTTTTTTTGAGGCAGAGTTTCGCTCCAGTAATTTCTCCATGTTGGCCAGGCTGGCCTCAAACTCCTGGCCTCAAATGATCCGCCCAGCTCAGCCTCCCAAAGTTCTGGGATTACAGGCGTGAACCACCATGCCTAGCCCCTTGCAGGTCTTGAATAGTGGGAAACTGAATAGTGGTTGGTGGAGAGGGAGGAGGTTGTACAGAACCCCTTCCTCAGTAACCCAAGAAAGATGTAGTGTAGGCTAAACCAGGGTATAGAGCACAGGAAAGAGATTTTAAAGACAAACTTGGCCAACTTTAGTAATTTGTTAAAGCTGGCTGGTCACGCCTCCAGGGACTCCAGGCTGCCTGCTGGTCCTCCTGTGCCAAGGAACTCAGTGGCATAAAATCTCCAAGCAGAAGAAGGCAGGAAAAGGGAGTAGAGCTTTCAGAGTCCTTCTTATTTAAGGACAACATCCCCACTCCATCACCATGCTTTATTATGTTCAATGGCAAATTCTGAAAATTAAATTTATTTACAAATCAGACATCCCATGATTCTTTTAGCAAGAGGGCAGGCATTTCTATATCCTGAAAATAATAAAAAGGTTAGCATTTCTATGTATTTAACATAATTCTAGTTTGTTATCCTTTATTTCATTTGATTCTATTAATGAGCTTATGCGGTAGCCAGGCAGGAATTATTGGCAGCTAACAGCTAAGGAAACTGAGGCACAAGAGAGTTTGACTTACTCAAAGTCACACAGAGATACAGTAGTGAAACCAGATCTTAACATTTCAAAGCCAGATCTTAACACTTCACAGGCTAGAAGGTGTTGTAGAAGCTGGGACCACAGCTGTCCAGGGATGTTTGAGGGACGGAGTGGCCTAGGCTGGGAGTTAGGATTTGTTCTGTATTTTATCATCTTCTGAGATTATCTGTGGCCTTGCATGGTGCAGCAGGTATGAAGACCAGGGTTCTAGTTCCACTTCTGCCACTTATCTGCCATGTGAACTTAGCATGACTCAACTATTTTTGGTCTTGGTTTTCTAATCTTTTTTTTTTTTGGGCGGGGGAGGAAGGCAGGAAGGGAGGGAAGCAGGACAGTAGGGAGGAAGGAAGGGATGAAGGAAGGAAGGGAGGAAGCGGGGAGGGAGGGAGGGAGGGAAGGAAGGAAATCAAGCAATGAGAGAGACATTGCCGACCTGGATCTAGAGGTTTACAAGTTGATTTCTTTTTTTTTGAGAGAAGAAAAGAAAAAAAAAAATAAGTAAAGGAGAGGAAGAAAGAGGAAGAGAAAGAGGAAGAGTAAATGGAAATATTGCTTTATTTTGAAAAAAATTGGGTATTAATAATGGCCAATCAATGTTTCATTTAAACTTATGGGTAGGTGTGATGTGGTATTGACAAGAATGTATATTTTGTGTGTTTGAAGTGGAGAGCTCTATAAATATTTATTAAGTTTACTTGTTCCGGATCTGAGTTCGAGTCCTTGATATCCTTATTAATTTTCTGTCTCATTGAATCTAAGTCTCGTATCTGGGTGTTAGGATCGTTAGCTCTTGTTGTTGCATTGATTTACCACTATATCTTTGTTGCTTTAAAATCTATTTTATCCGATACGAGAATTGCAACTCCTGCTTTTTATTTATTATTTATTTTTGCTCTCCATTTGTTGGTAAATCTTTCTCCATCCCTTTGTTTTGAGTCTTTGTGTATCCTTGCATGTGAAACAGGTCTGGATGTAACATGCCATTGGGTTTTGTCTGTGTCTTTTGATTGGGGGATTTAGTCAATTTAAATTTAGGGTTACTGCCATTTGATGTTGACTGGCTGTTTTATCCATTCGTTGGTGTAAATTCTTCTTTATGTTGGTGCTCTTTACTTTTTGGTGTATTTTTAGAAAGGCTAATACTGGTTGTTTCTTTCTGTGTGTAATGCTTCTTTCAGAAGCTCTTGTAAAGCAGGCTTGGTGGTAACAAAATCTCTGAGTTCTTGCTTGTTCATAAAAGATTTTATTTTTCCTTCAGTTGTGAAGCTTAGTTTGGCTGGATATGAAATTCTGGGCTGAAGGTTCTGTTCTTTGAGGATGTTGAATATTGGCCCCCACTCTCTTCTGGCTTGTAGAGTTTCTGCCGAGAGATCTGCTGTAAGTCTGATAAGCTTGCCTTTGTGGGTAACCTGACCTTTCTCTCTGGCTGCCCTTAGTATTTTCTCCTTCGTTTCAACCCTGGTGAATCTAACGATTATGTGCCTTGGGGTTGCTCTTCTTGAGGAATATCTTTGTGGTGTTCTCTGTATTACCTGGGGTTGAATGTTGACTGCTTTGCTAGTTTGGGAAAATTTTCCTGAATAATATCCTGAAGGGTATTTTCCAGCTTGGATTCATTCTCTCCGTCGCATTCAGATACACCTATCAAACGTAAATTTGGTCTTTTCACATAGTCCCACATTTCTTGGAGACTTTGCTCATTCCTTTTTATCCTTTTTTCTCTAATCTTTTCTTCACGTTTTATTTCAGTAAGTTGGACTTTGACCTCTGATATCCCTTCTTCTGCTTGAACAATTCGAGTGTTTAAACCTGTGCATACTTCTCGGAGTTCCTGTATTGTATTCTTCAGTTCCATTAATTCACTCATACTCCTCTCTAAGTTGTCTATTCTCAATAGGATTTCATCAAACCTTTTTTCAAAGTTCCTAGTTTCTTTATGTTGGGCTACAACATGGTCTTTTAACTCACAGAAGTTTGTTATTATCCATTCCTTGAAGAGTGATTCTGTCATCAGGATGCGCTCGTTCTCCATCAAGCCTTGTTCCATTGTTGATGTGGAACTGTGATCATTTTTAGAGGGAGAGGCGTTCTGATTTTGAGTATTCTCAGCTTTTTTACGCTGGTTTCTTCCCGTCATTGTAAATTTATCCTCCTGCTGTCTTTGAAATTACCAACTTTCAGATTAGGTCTCTTGAGTGGACGTCCAGGTTGTTAGTTCCCAGGGCCAGAGCAGCGGCGTTAAAACTGATGGTGCTTTTCTGCCCAGGATTCTCCTGTCTGGCTTCCTTCTTGTGTCCGTAGTAGGCGACTCTGCCTTCCCGGGGCTCCAAACCTCAGTCAGAAGGGAAACCGGTACTGTTTACTCTGCGCCGAGTGCTGCCGCACCGAGGTGCCGTCACAGCCGCTGCGCCGGGCTCTGGTGTCGTGCTGGGGGCCCGTGCGGGTCCTCCGAACCTGTTTACTCTGCTCCGAGAGCTGCCGCGCCAAGGTGCCAGCGGAACCACTGCGCCGGCCACGAGAGTCACGCTGACCACCCGTGTGTTTCCTCCACTGGGGGATCTTCTGCTCCGTGAGCGACCAGAATTTGTCTGAAAGTGTGGCGTCCTCTAGTTCTCCGCGCCTTCCCTGAGAGTTGCAATCCCAGGATGTTAGCGATCGGCCATCTTGGATCGTTCCCCGGTTTTCTAATCTTTAATATCAGAATTTAAAGGATTCTGGGACGTTTTTGGAGGAAGGGGCATTTAAATTATATCATTAAAATTTATTGGGTTAACAGTGAGAGGAAGGACAATAGCCATGAGCACTGGCACAAAGGTGGAAATGGTCTGGAAACAGAGAAGTTGTAACTTGGAATATAGAACAGGTGTTGATATATTTAGTTAATTTATTTTGTCTGCTGTATGATAGTTCATTGAAGTAGTAAACCACAGTTCATATATCCATTCTACCTCCAAAACGTCCTAAGAAATACTAAAAATGTTGCTTTGACATTTTTAGTATTACAGTGACACAATGAACATCCATGTGCATTTTTTTTTAGGCAGTGTATGGCTCTGTCACCAGGCTGGAGTGCAGTGGCATGGTCTCAGCTCACTGCAACCTCAGCCTCTCAGGTTCAAGCCTTTCTCCTGCCTCAGCCTCCTGAGTAGCTGAGACTACAGGTGCGTGCTACCACGCCCAGCTAATTTTTTGCAGTTTTAGTAGAGACGGGGTTTCAGTGTTTTGGTCAGGCTGGTCGCGAACTCCTGACATCATGATCCACCCGCCTTGGCCTCCCAAAGTGCTGGGATTACAGATGTGAGCCACAGTGCCCAATCCATGTGCATAGTTTTTAAAGGAATGTGTGTGTGACTTGAAGATTGAGGCTTGGAAATGGAAAATGCTAGGTTATAGGCTGTTCACACTAGGTATTATGTATTTCTGTTCCCTACCAAGACTTTTAAATTGTTGCTAGTTGGCTGGCTGTGAATATCTGTAAAATATATTTTAATTTTAATTTTCCTAATTACTAGTGAGATCAAATTTATTTTCATATATTTGTTGATCATTTAGGTTTTTTCTTCTAAAGTGATATCTTTTTTATTTTCATAGGAGTTATATATTACAGACACCAATCCTTTATTGATTATATCCATTGCAGACATATTCTTCCAGTCTGTGGCTTGTCTTTGTACTTTATTTTTTCATGGAAAAAGAAGTTCTGCCGGGCGCGATGGCTCACGCCTGTAATCCCAGCACTTTGGGAGGCCGAGGTGGGTGGATCACAAGGTCAAGAGGTCGAACCCATCCTGGTCAACATGGTGAAACCCCATCTCTACTGAAAATACAAAAAATTAGCTGGGCATGGTGGTGTGTGCCTGTAATCCCAGGTACTCAGGAGGCTGAGGCAGGAGAATTGCCTGAACCCAGGAGGCAGAGGTTGTGGTGAGTCGAGATCGGGCCATTGCACTCCAGCCTGGGTAACAAGAGCGAAACTCGATCTCAAAAAAAGAAAAGTTCTAAAAAATTTTTATTCGTTAATTTAGCATCATATTCTTTTATGGCTTTGCTTTTGTGTTTTAAGAAATCTGTCTTTGTCCAGAGGTCATAAAGACATTTTTATATATTTGCTTTTTAAAGTGTTAAAAGAATCTGTGTTTCTTTCACCTTTGTCTTCAATTGTACCTTTCCATGTTTCAGAACCCCATTGTTTCAGAACCACTTAATGAACCTTCCATACTTTTTCCATGGTTTGTGATGTGACCTCTACCACATATCACATTCCCATACAAAGACAGGTTTGCCTCTAACCTTTGTATCTCATTTACTTCATTTGTTTGCCTGTTCCTGTACTATACTATTGTTTCTGTTAGGACAACTGCTCACTTCTTTAAAAGGAAGAAAATTATTGTGGTTCTTCCTGGCCTTTTTTCTTTACAATTGATTTTTAGGATCCAAAATGTAAAATTTTATGAAAAAAAATCTATTGGAAATTTTAAAGGATTACACTTGATTTCCAGACAGATTGGGGATAATTGCCAGTTTTATAGTATTGACTCTTCCCATCCAGGAACACAGCACATCTCCTTACCTGAGTCTTCTTTTTGTTCATATTTGTTGGACTTATTTCTAGGTACCTTCTAGTTTTTGTTACTATTATAAATGATATATTTTTATTTTGTTTCTTTTTTTAATAAATGATATATTTTAAATTACTTATAATAGTTTTTGTTGCCCTATAAGAATGCTGTTTTTTAAATATTGATTTTATATCCAACAGCCTTGATAAACTCTAATTAGTTCCAATAATACTCCAAATAAACATTTTGAATTTTTCTATATAGACAGTTAATTCAGCTGCACATAATATCACTTTGTTTCTTTTCTTTTTCATGTATTATTGTGATCTCTAGGAAGTTTAGTACTATATTGAATAGAATTATGGGCCTGGTCTTGACCGGAAAGAAACAGCTTCACATAATTCACCATTGACTATGGTATGTTCAGTGAGATGTTGAAAAATAACCTTTATTGAGTTAAGAAAATGATTTTATATTTCTAGTTTTCAAAGTGTTTTTTCTATAATTAGGTGTTGACATTTTTAAAATCAAATGAATTTTCTGCATCTGTTGAGATTCTCCTGTAGTGTTCTTTAACTTGTTAATATGAGGGGCATTGAATGATTATCTAATGTGAAACCATCCTTGCATTCCTGGGATTAACCCTACTGGATAATGATTTATATATTTTTTTTTGTTCATTGCTAGATATGGCTTGCTATTCTTGAGTATTTTATATCTATGTTCATGAATAAAATTAGCCTCTAATTTTCTTTTC